CTATTGAGTTTCCTCCTCCAACATAACTGAAATTTGTATCTGAAAGCTTGGAATAAACAATCTCTTGATAGAAATAAAGGTGTAAGAAAGAAGCATGAACTAAATTAAATAAAATCTAGTCAGTTGCATTTAATCCCTGTCACCCATTCATGAGATTGAATGAAATATTTGCTGAAATTCATAAAACGTTTATAGAAAAATATATTAAGAAAAAAGTGCATTTTATGTACCAAAAGAGGGCTCTGGAGTTCTTTGAGAATGGATTGCTTCGTCAATACTGTTTATCCTGATCTGAATGTAAATATATCAGACTTGATGCCGGCAGGGAGTTTACAGTACGGAAATTCTATCCAGCTTAATGCTGGATGATGGAAGTTTAAGTTCTGTATTAGCCAGCCATGGCTGTTTAATGTGAGGCGTCTTCCCTGAACCAGGAGCAGGTATCCTTAGGGTAAGGGGCCGCCATCATCTTTAACTTTGATATTGAAATTGAAGGATGTATTGATTGTTACAGTTTTTATTGGGGAGTAACGTTAATGTCTTCCTTTACGTAGTGTGCCGACTTAAGATGCTTCTCGTGTCTTGGAGCGGACATGTTGACACCAGTACCAGCTCAACAAAAAAACATTGTGACTTTTGGAGACTGCACGCTGATGCTGCCTCAGAATGCCAGATGAAGTCTTTGCAGTGTGTATTTGCAAGCTAGATTACTTGAGCCTCTTATGTTCGCTGGCCTCCCTCAATTTCTATTAGGTTATGCATGTTGCACACAAATGATAGTTACTGAGAAAAATCAATGGAGCTCGGATGCAAGAGTTTTTCCCCTGTACGGACTGTGCGGACAGGACAAGACACGAAGCTGTGTGAGATGGCCGTCATTGATTCTGTGGCCCTCTCCAGCACTCCATTTGATAGAGAGTCATATGTGTCTCCTGATGCTTAAAAGCTTTTCGGGCAGGATCTACACCTCTAAATGGTAGAGGTCATTTGGGCACAACAAGTTGCTGCCTACCCATATCGCAGGTACTCTCGGGACGGAGTCAGTGTTCAGTACCTTTGGGCTCAGTGCGTCCAATCTCGTTTTGAACCTAGAATGAAGGTGGAAAAAATGGAAATTTAATCCTGTCATTGGACCATCCCCACCCTGGAGAAATGATTTGTTGTTAAGATTCAAGTGAGCTCTTTATTTCACCCAACGAGCGACTCTATGACAGCATTGGTCCTTCAGTGTCATGTGATCAATACTCTGTCTTGTGTAATCGCCAGTATCTAAACTGCCAATTTCGTGAATATGGTAATTTTATAGCACTAGAATAGAATGATTTATCTGTTTCAAATCTTATGATCATGAACGTCAGAGGATTTGCATGTCAGAGAAGAACAAAATATTTTCTTGATACTTTAATCTTTGTTCATTAAGGAGGAATAGGAGGGGCATTTAACATGTAGATTTGTTTTCTTGATTGACACAAATGTGTTTAAGTTCAGAAATTAGTACGGCTTTGGGATTATGTTTCCAGTATGCTGGAGATCAAGTGAGGATGTACTAACATTTCTACGCAGATGAGAGGATAGTGTCAATTAGTTATTGTGTCATCAGAAACCCATAATAATTAATTCCTTGTAATTTTTGTGGGGAAAATATCATTTATCTGACATGAAAAAGGTTGACACCAGCTTGGTATGATCAGCAGTTCATCCTGGTTGAGAAAAAAAGGATGGTGAAAAAAGTTTCTCCATGCCGAAATCCTATTTCTATTTCCGCTGCTGGTTTAAATAATGAACACTCCGGTGCTCCTAACAGCTTCATTTACTGACAAAAACAGACGTGCAGAATAAAAACTGAAAATAAAGTTCTGTAGTGATGATTAATGGAGTAGACAACTCAAATGGCGTCGACCTATCGTGGAGAAAGTAACGTGATGGAACCGAAGAAGTGGCATGTGTCAGCAGGAAGGAGTTCTGCCAACGGTGAGACAGGCCCAGAACTGCAAAAAGAGCCCACTGTTGCTTCCACCGCAAAGTGTGATATTTGCTGTCACATGTTTGAAATATGTGTTCCGTCCTAGCACTAACATTTTGGATGGGCTAATAGCTCCTGTTAAAACGATTTGCCATATAGCTCTGGTTGATGAGATCGAAGCAGATCGCAAATTGACAGTGACCCTCCCAATCCAATAAGTCTGTCAATGTTTCTTGTCGACTTGTCAGGCTGGCCTGTGACACATGCTTATTACAAGAATTCTGGAGCTCGTAGCTTCAGTGGCTGGTGAATGGCTGGCCTACAATCGAGATAATCTTTATTGACAGGATTGTATTATGTCCTATATGTCGATTAGGGCACATTCATATCATGGACACACTCATCTTCTGGTGTGGGACTTTCTTGTTGGGGTATTTCCATGTGATCATCGAAGTATTTGTTCATGATTTTCTGTATGCTGTGGCCAGTGTTTAGAGTTTGTGGTTTGTTTTGGCACAAGTAAATCATATTTTGATCAGTTTTCAGAATTTACGTGACTCACAACCGTTGTCATTCTTTCAGGGCAGTGGAGTAGCACAGTGGATAATGTGGTTGCTCTTTTTGAATTGGGGGCAGTTGGGTTTTTTAAAGCATCTGCTTGTCACGCCAAAGACCCAGGTTTGAATCTCCACATGGGCACAATGTGTGAAGCCCATTTCTGGTGTTCCCAGCCGTGATATTGCTAAAAGCGGCATAAAACCATACTCACTCACTCACTCACTCACTCTTTTTGAATTGGGCGTGTTCTAATGTGGGTAATACTTAGTTGTTTCTCCTAATGTTTAATGGTTACCAAATGGTATCATGAAGTCAGGCTATTCTCAAGTCACTGCCCATTTGAGCAGGCCAGCCTACAAAGACTTCATGCTGTTATCTTTTTGGACGTGACATCCAAATTATCACATTGGACTCCTGCGCCATACAGCTGGAATACTGCTAAGTGTGATGTTATACATCATTGATCAATCAAACAAAACATATGACTCAATGAAGTGATTGAACTATGATTTTGAAATTTTTGAAAGTATTACTGCCAAGGTAGAAATGACCTCACACCAAATTTCCCTTCCTTGTGTATGTTTATTTTGGTTCGCAAGAGAAAAACAAGTCATTATAAAAATTAAGTGAAAACAGCCTGCATTACCTACCCTGTGTATGATTGGAACATGTTTGTTTTTATGTTCCAAGGGGCGGTGGGGTAGCCTAGTGGTTAAAGCGCTAGCTTGGCTCGTTACGCCGAAGACCCGGATTCGATTCCCCACATGGGCACAATGTGTTAAGCTCATTTCTGGTGTCCCCCGCCGTGATATTGCTGGAATATTGCTAAAAGCGGCGTAAAACTAAACTCAGTCAGTCAGTCTATGTTCCAAACATGGGTAGTATATTGTTGGGGAAAAGAGGTATCAGATGCACAAGTCTCCTTCCAGAAATGTGGACTTATCTTTCATTTGCGCAGCAGTTTGTAATATTAAGAAAAAAAATACAGGCCGTGAGATCTGAACAAAAAAATCGGATGAATGTAGAATTGTTTTGTTGTAGCCTGTGTCAGTGAAGAACTTCTTCAGGAAGTCCCCTGAATTCTTTTGGTTCATTCCTTCCAACTCGCTCTCTCTCTGTTGACAGTGCCAGTAGTTATCGAGACCAGATCTGTATTTAAATGTACATGGTTAACTTGTCCTTGAGCTATTAGCAATCTATATATTGCTTTCAGATGCCATTACTGAACGAGAATCCACTCTCCTTAAAATGACTGTGGTGTGTGCCAATTAGCAGTGCTGCTACTATTTTCACAGTCCGATTTGTTCCAATAACCTATGGGCTTTGGCTCCATGGCGATAATTCTCCGACATCTCGGGGCAATGGTCTTGTCAGTGTTGCAAACATTCCACTTCCTGTGCTGCATTGTGGGTCAGCACCTCCTGACAAGAGTCAATGGAGCTGTAGCATGCATTACAGGACAAAGTGCCACCACTAATGCAGGAGATTGGAACAAGTTCTATCAGAGGCATTTCTTACGCCTGTTAACTATGGTTTTCAGGCAGGAACTGATGCAAATGATGCGTTTACAAATGTCCAGCTTTCCTGAAGTTCTGAATTTCTGTTGATCGTTTTTCTTTCCAAGGTTTATTTAGGCTTTGACTGTTGTTTGTTTTATGGCAATTTCTTTCTCGAAATAGTTAAGCAAGATGATAGTAACTGGATTTACACTCGTCAAAGATAATAGTCTATCTGTCTTGAGTGAGTATTGTCCATTGCAAGAAGGGTTTTTACTCATGGAAGGTGACTATGTACTGTGTTGACACTGCTCAACGTTTTATAGGGTTACTCTTGTTATTTCCCTGTGAACTGAGCAGACTGATAATAAACTCAAACCTTTTTTGCCAAAGGGCGTTCAAAAAGCCTGGTGGCTAAAGTATTGGAGCTCCTGTCACAAAACCAGGGTTCAATTCAAACATACACACAATACTTCCAGTCAGTTTTTTATATTCCTGGGGTGGTGGGGTAGCCATGTGGTTAAAGTGTTTACTCGTCACACCTAGGGCCTGGGTTCGACTCCCCACATGGGTACAATGTGTGAAGCCAATTTCTGGTGTCCCCTGGAATATTTTTAAAAGCAGCATAAAACCCAACTCACTCACTCACTCACTCACTCTTGATATACCTCTCAAGTGTCGTAGCATTTGACTCAGAATTGATACTCCTTTCAAAGGTGTTTCTGTACAAGATGGTACGCTGTTACGTGTTGTCTTAAAACTGCTTCACACCTGATATGCTACATTTATGACTTGTCACCTGAAGAGTTACGACCGATGATGTTCCCTACACATCACTGCATATACTTTGTCCCAACGTGTTTTGTATCAAAACACTAATTGGACTGGCTGTTATGTATCTGTTTTTTATTTCACTTAACCACTCGATTCACCTCTTGTTGCTAGATATTGGCATATCCTACAAAAATGTTCTTTTCTTCCAGAGTTCCATGTGTCTTATGATGTGAATGTCAATCCGTCCGCCAGTCACCAGTTTGTGATAGAGTATGAACCTCTGGCCAATCAGCGCTACCGACGCCAGGCGTCAGGGTCGGGAGGACAAGGCAACGTATCGACTGTACCTCCAACAACGACTGTGTTGAACAATTCCAATGCACCGGACGCCGTCACAGTGACCTCAACAAACGTAAATACTTTCTTTCACCTACCCTTTACTATATATTGAGTATATCTGCTCTTCATTCTATAGGTGACCCGTGAAGATCTGGCTTAGAATTGATCTTCAGTAACCCATGATTGTCGTAAGAGGCAACTAACGGGATCGGGTGGTCAGGCTCGCTGACTTGGTTGACATATGTCATCATATCCCAATTGCGTAGATTGATACTCATGCTGTTGATCACTGGATTGTCTGGCCCAGACTCGATTATTTACAGACTGCTGCCATTTAGAAGAAATGTTGCCGAGTGTGGCGTAAAACTAAACTCACTCACTCATTCTATAAGTCAAGTGTTCATTCAAAGGCTGTGCTGAAGGCCTGGATTCGATTCTCCACATGGGTAATAATGTATGGATCTGATGTCCAATGTTCCCTGTGGCTGGTGTGTTGCTGAAAGTGGCATAAAACGTGAATAGTAGAGCAAGGTATTCTAATTACTTGTGCGGAAATAGAAAAAGTTTAAGTTAAGATCTTTTCTTGTTTCCGCCAAGGCTGATATTGCTTTCTGAGCAGGGTGCGGCTTTGTGACAATGTAAGGGATTGACTATTCATAACCCTCCACACACATTTTGCTCAAAATGAAAAATAGAAAATTGAAAGAAGAATGTTGTGTTTTCTTTCAGAAATGAACGATCATTTTCAGCTCATGTATTTGGTGAATCCAACCATATTCCATCATGAATTAAATTTGTTATTCTTTGAGTTTTGAAATAGGAATGTTGTTATTTGAATTTGGTTATTTGTGAAAGCGAGATATGTAAATTGGAACATGCCCTAGGCTGCAGTCAGCAGTCTTATGTATTTAGTTTGGCTGCCAAATGATACAATAGTACTGTTAACATGATCAAAATATGTGAAAGAAAACATTTTGTTAAATTTCAATAATTATTATTATTATTAATAAATCAACTACTGACTTGTTTAATTTCGTTACCCAGTATTTTATTCATTACCCAGTATTCTTGATTTTGTTATATCTAAACAAAAAATATTTTGGGTCAAATATTTCGTAAATGGTTACAAATCATCTCTGAATCTACTAGCTGCAGAGAGCTAAAACTTATGAGTTTTTAAGTTCTTCCAATCCTTCATATCCAGTATCTAATAAGGTTGCTGAAAGTGATAGTGTGAAAAAGTATGGCTTGCATTTTCTCTTGAGTCACTTGATGGATTGAGATGAACCTTTATGATTGACAAATCTACCATGTGGAGGCTGAACTGTCTTCAAGGCATCAAAATAGAATCTTAAAAAATTATGTGTGAAAAGAAATATGGAAAGTGTATGAAGATCTTCTCACAAGTAAGAGACTGAAGGGTCGTTTGATGGATGAGCTTTTCCGGTGTAAGAAGCCGCTTCATTAGGCTGCTGTTGTAGATCATGTGAAAAGGTATGCATGTCATGTGTACATTGGTTTACCACCACCTTGATTTGTATCCATAAAAATCTGGGTCTTCCGTGAGATGAGCGAACGCTTTAACCACAAGGCTAGCCAACCGCCCTGAGAGTGAGTGAGTGGAAGAGTCAGCACCATACCCAAGGTCATGGGGAACTGTTACATGCATCATTCTGGGCTTCCTCTGACATTTATCTGGCATGCCAAGATGGAATACTATTATAAACAGCATTAAACCTCACTCACTCACTCACTCACTCACTCACTCACTCACTCACTCACTCACTCACTCACTCACTCACTCACTCACTCACTCACTCACTCACTCACTCACTCACTCACTCACTCACTCTCGGGCCGGTGGGCTAGCCTTGTGGTTAAAGCGTTCGATCATCACACCCAAGACCCGGGTTTGATTCCCCACATGTGTGAAGCCCATTTCTGGTGTCCCTCACCATGATATTGTTGGAATATTGCTAAAAGCTGTGTAAAACTAAACTCACTCACTCACTCACTCTTTGTCCGTATGCAACAAACTTCCAGGTATCTTGTGTAAATATCTACTTATTTCCAATTCTCTCATTTTGTTTGTTACGTTATTCATCGCCACCACTAAGGAAATGGATAATCAACGAGTCATCACGTTTCATAGTCAGTACAGCTAATAAAGTCTCAGAGAATTGAAAACATTATGAGGAAGGAAATGGTTTCAGAATTCAGCATTTCTGACTTCTGATTCTCAGCAGAAGTGTTCAGTCATCTCATATGAAAATATACGTCATTTTGTAGCAGATACACCTGATTTTATTGGGCAACTTGTAACAATGAATGTGTCTATGTCTCTATGTACTTCTGCCCGAATGTAAAGAGAACATTGCCTGGCTAGCATTATGGTGATGAAACTGTTTCTTCTGTGGAGAGGGGCGGTGAGATAGCCTAGAGGTTAAGGCGTTCGCTTGTCACGCCCACCCGGGGTCGATTCCTCACATGGGTACAATGTGTGAAGCCCATTTCTGGTGCCCCCAGCCGTGATATTGCTGGAATATTGCTATAAGTGGCATAAAACCAAACTCACTCACTCTTCTGTGGAGAACCATAACATCCCAGGAGAAAGACTTCACCATGCCGATTACCAAGGTTTGATTCCTCACATGAGTACAATGTGTGAACCTCAATTCTGCCTGTACTTTTGCCTATGGTTAAACATATGACATTTGATTTCAGGCTCCATCAACCCCTGCTCCAACTACACCAGCTCCTACCACTCCTGCCCCGACTACTCCTGTGGCGACTACACCTGCTCCATCACCCACAACTCCCTCTCCAACTACACCAATGACCACACAGTCCACTACAATAGCACCCGTCATAGAGACGACCTCAGGTGTTACTGGAAGCACAATAACCCCATCCCTTCGGGAGGTAAGCTATCCAACATCTACACCTACAACTGCATCCACCCCACACCAACGCCTACACCAATGCCTACACTTACATGTGCATCTACACCTACACCAACGCCTACACCAATACCAACGCCCACATCTACTCCCTACACCAATGCATACGCCTAGACCAACGCCTACACATACACCTACACCTACACCAATGCCTACACATACTACACCAATGCCTCCGCCTACACCTATGCCTACACCTACACCAACGCTTACGCCTACGCCTACACCTACACCTACAGCCAGTAAGAGAGGAGGTAAGACATACAACACCTATACTTGCTCCAACTACACCAGCTTCTACTACTCCTGCGGCAACTACACCTGCTCCATTGCGCACCACTCCCTCTCCAACAACTACAGCAACAACCACACGGCCCACTACAACAACACACATCATATATCAACATCATCGCCGAGTCGAGCTCTGACCCCACCCCCTTTGAGAGGTGAGGCAAAAATAATTTACCTTTGTACTCTGAGCGATAAGTTCATCCTTCCTTTCAGAAATTGAATACAACACTTGAAATTTACCTTCATCCACCAAGAGGGAAACATAACTAGTTTTACAGTCGCTTTCTTCCATTGCGATGTTTTATTAGATTGAGACTCATAAATTTGGTTTGAGATGTGGGCCATGTTGTGATCTCTGCCATCTGTTTCAGGACAACCACCAGTACTACTCTTCCTCCATCATCCCCGACGCCATCAGCGCCAACTGGGAGGACCTGACCAACGCCAAGAGGCATAAGACTCTGTCAACCAGTCATAGGACCGCTGTGGTGAGTGCAATAGGGCAGGGAAGTATGACCTTAAGCTGAAGCATGATGAACAGAAACATGATGTGGTGTTACACACTTCCTGCCAGTAGCATCAACGACTGGATCACAATAACCGGACACAGTCACATAACAACACATCAGGATATACAGTTTGAACAACGTCACCAAGCCAGACAACATGATCTATTCAGTCACCCCTTAAGACCAGAAGACCCGTGAAGATCCGGGTTAGAATTGATCTTCAGTAACCCATGCTTGTTATAAGAGTAGATTAACAGGTCAGGCTCCCTGACTTGGACACAAAATGAGGTTACTTTTTATGGGATTTAATCTCATACAGGAATTAATAAAACAATATGAAAGTTATTTTTATGATTCATGAAATTGGCTTTTTCTTTCAGACGATTAACCTCACCTTTAAGTTCCGTTTCTATGGACACAATGTGACAAACATCACGGTTGCAACAGGAGGTAGGTGATGGTTTAGCGTGTGTGTGTCTCACACCCTGCCTCCTGATACAGACAGTCTCCAGTGTTGGTCAGGATACTGACTGAAATAAGAATTCGATAGGAAGAGAAATTATACGACCTTGTTACCTACACGGGCTTGAATCAAGAATTACACTTTGATTAAGCTGCTTGGTTTGACACTAGCTTCCGATGAATATTCCAAATCATTATTAGTAAAATGGTTGATTATAATATTAGCCCTGAAAGTTAGATACAAGTAAAACAATAGTAACATCAATTATTTGACATCACCAGTAAAATTAATATGGAAATTTGGTATGTTTTGGCATTTTCTGTTGCTCTATGATGATAGTTAAGCTCCAGATTGTTATAACATTTCACCCACATGATATAGCATCATATCAACCTAGGGACTACTGCCCAATAGTCTGATAAACAGCAGATTATGTACACATAGTAGGACTGAGCTGCTCTAACATTCCATGACTCTGTGTCTTGCATGTCAACAGGTTTCATCTATGCCAGTCCCTTCCTCCACCAATGGCTGACCGCAACACAATACATAGCCCCGCTGATGGCCAATTTTGACACCAGGATCGGCGAGGCATCTGACATCTACTATGACGACTTCGGTAGGTTTGGTGTATGTTTAATAAGCAGGAGTTCTGTTTATCTGACAACCGCCTCCATGGTGTAGTGGATAGAGCATCCGCATGAAGAGAGAAAGGTCGCGGGTTCGCGTCATACCAAAAGACAGTAAAATATGTTTTTTTGTTGTTTCCTGCCTGGTGCTAAGCATTAATGGGTACAACAAGGACTGGTCAGCTCGGAGTCAGTATTGTGTGTCTCAGTGGGGTATTGATGCTTATCTGAGGCATGGTATCTCAGTGAGCTAGCACTATAAAACCAGCTTCAGTATGGGCTAGTACAAGCAGCCACACAGACACACACATGCATGTTGTCATATGAGTGAAATATTCTTAAGTACAACATTAAACCCCATTTCACCTGAGAAAGGGGGGTCGATGAAGTACCCTAATGGTTAAAGCGTTGGCTCGTCACGCCAAAGGCCCAGCTTCGAATCCCCACATGGGTACAATGTGTGAAGCCCATTTCTGGTGTCCCCCCCCCCCCCACCATGATATTGCTGGAATATTGCTAAAAGTGGCTTGAAACCACATTTTTTAACTGTTCTCTGTTTGTGATTATCTCTGGTGTAGTCCTGCACACTCTAGGCATATACCTTGGTGTAGAAGAGAGCAACTGGTTGTCATTTGCATTCAGACACAAATTCACCAGGTTCAGACCTGACAGTTGTATTGAGCAATGTTCAGACACAACTCACAAATATTGATTCTTTTCTCTCTGTTCCATTAAGAAAGGTTCAGACACTAACCCCCCAGTACAGGTCCACGTCTGACTGTTGCGTTAAGAAAGGTTCAGACACTAACCCCCCAGTACAGGTCCATGTCTGACTGTTGCGTTAAGAAAGGTTCAGACACTAACCCCCCAGTACAGGTCCATGTCTGACTGTTGCGTTAAGAAAGGTTCAGACACTAACCCCCCAGTACAGGTCCACGTCTGACTGTTGCGTTAAGAAAGGTTCAGACACTAACCCTCCAGTACAGGTCCACGTCTGACTGTTGCGTTAAGAAAGGTTCAGACAATAACCCTCCAGTACAGGTCCACATCTGACTGTTCCATTAAGAAAGGTTCAGACAATAACCCTCCAGTACAGGTCCACATCTGACTGTTCCATTAAGAAAGGTTCGGACAATAACCCTCCAGTACAGGTGCACATCTGACTGTTCCATTAAGAAAGGTTCAGACACTAACCCTCCAGTACAGGTCCACATCTGACTGTTCCATTAAGAAAGGTTCAGACACTAACCCTCCAGTACAGGTCCACATCTGTCTGTTGCGTTAAGAAAGGTTCAGACACTAACGCCCCAGTACAGGTCCACGTCTGACTGTTGCGTTAAGAAAGGTTCAGACACTAACCCTCCAGTACAGGTCCACGCCAGACTGTTGCGTTAAGAAAGGTTCAGACAATAACCCTCCAGTACAGGTCCACATCTGACTGTTCCATTAAGAAAGGTTCAGACACTAACCCTCCAGTACAGGTCCACATCTGACTGTTCCATTAAGAAAGGTTCAGACACTAACCCTCCAGTTAAGGATCTGTTCTACAAGCAATCACACTGCGGTTACATTTTACGTGAATATTAAGGCCACTTTAAGCAGGGTTCAGTCAAATTCGGAAGCCACACTGTATGCAAGGTAGTAAATGACTTTTATAATAGAAATTGATTTTCTACCCAGGTTTTATAGAGGGTCACAGGTCTAATTGAATCTTCAACCATGCTGTCTTTTTCAAGCCTGGTATCTATTTGAGGGCCTCCAAAAGCCCGATCATTTTCTCATCGACGACCAGAGACTCTGGGCAATATGATGTAAGAATGAAATAGATGGCTTTTGTGAGGAACGAGGTAATGACTTCCTTAAGTCTTGTCTATGACTGGGATCTCACTACTCAAGATTTAGGAGGGGTATGGGTGATGCCAATTATCAGGCTATTTATTGTTGACCCGTGCTCATATTGGACAGGAACAGTACGACATTTGAGCTACCTCCTGTGTGGGGCCATGCAGTGGAGAGAGAATGATGGACTTGACTTGGATCCTGTTGTTCTGGGGTGTCTGGTTGTCCTGAGGTGTCCTGTTGTCCTGAAATGTCCTGTTCTCCTGAGGTGTCCTGTTGTCCAGAGGTGTGCTTTTGCATCATGATATCATCGATCTGGCTTGCAGTCTGAAGCAAGACTAATCTCAGTAGGACACACAGACATTGATATTCATGAACATCTGGAAAACAAAGCATAAAAGAGGAAAATGTTGGGTTATTGTTAATGGTACATGCACATTACTGTGTAGAGTTGTGTCCCTTAGGCTTGTCCGATTGAATCTGGTTATGATACTTGATAACTCAGATTAACCCTTGTTGGTGAAAAGCTGACATTGTTTGATTTCACTCTCTTAGTCCCTCATTCTGTCAGCCAATCGCTTGTCCACTCACGCTGCTGTGATGTTGTCCCAGTGCCAGCTGTACCTGAATATGATCTCTTTGATGTTGAAGGAAAAACCGAGATAGTATAATCTGTGTTGGATGTGTGGATCCATGTTTGGGTTCTCTGCTAATATCTAGATCATGTTACACTCCATCATGAGATGGAAAATTATTCATGTCCTTGAAAAGAACAATTGTTTCAAGTGTTTCATCCTGTGATGCTTTCAAAGGAAGGTGTTCTTTTCACAAGTTCTTGGTTTTTTAGCCAGAATAGTTTAATGACGTATGTGTTACAGTGTATTGTTGACATTCTGGCCTTCACGCTGGTGGCAAAATTTCCCACTGTGGCGATTCAGGATAGACCGCCAGTATCTTCGGCTTGTCTCCCTGTGGTGATTCAGTCAGGATGGTGTCCAGTACCTCATGCTTGTCTCCTAGTGGTGATTCAGTCAGGATGGTGTCCAGTACCTCATGCTTGTCTCCTTGTGGGGATTCAGTCAGGATGGTGTCCAGTACCTCATGCTTGTCTCCCTGTGGTGATTCAGTCAAGACAGGTCTCCAGTACCTCATGCTTGTCTCCCTGTGGTGATTCAGTCAGGATGGTGTCCAGTACCTCATGCTTGTCTCCCTGTGGGGATTCAGTCAGGATGGTGTCCAGTACCTTGTGCTTGTCTCCCTGTGGAGATTCAGTCAGGACGGTGTCCAGTACCTCATGCTTGTCTCCCTGTGGAGATTCAGTCAGGATGGTGTCCAGTACCTCATGCTTGTCTCCCTGTGGGGATTCAGTCAGGATGGTGTCCAGTACCTCATGCTTGTCTCCCTGTGGTGATTCAGTCAGGATGGTGTCCAGTACCTCATGCTTGTCTCCCTGTGGGGATTCAGTCAGGATGGTGTCCAGTACCTCATGCTTGTCTCCCTGTGGAGATTCAGTCAGGATGGTGTCCAGTACCTCATGCTTGTCTCCCTGTGGGGATTCAGTCAGGATGGTGTCCAGTACCTTGTGCTTGTCTCCCTGTGGAGATTCAGTCAGGACGGTGTCCAGTACCTCATGCTTGTCTCCCTGTGGAGATTCAGTCAGGATGGTGTCCAGTACCTTGTGCTTGTCTCCCTGTGGAGATTCAGGCAGGATGGTGTCCAGTACCTTGTGCTTGTCTCCCTGTGGAGATTCAGGCAGGATGGTGTCCAGTACCTTGTGCTTGTCTCCCTGTGGAGATTCAGTCAGGATGGTGTCCAGTACTTCATGCTTGTCTCCCTGTGGGGGCAGTGGTGTAGCCTAGCGGTTAAAACCAAACTCTCTCACTCACTCACTCTATGCTGGGAGATACGGTGGAGGTACGGTGGATAGACAGGAAATAGAGCCTTGCTTAGCTGACTGTCAAGTACACATGATTATTTTTCATCCACTTCTTCAGAGGCATTTAGAAGTTGGATGAACATGCATTCATGACATGTTTTTGGATTACAACTTTTGTATTCTTTATCAGGGCTAATTCTTGCTCCTTCATCGGAGTGTATATACTTAGATAGATATAGATAGAACATGTTTACACAAAGCATGGTGGGAGAATGTACAGAGATAACTCAGCATTCACCTGATGAGGGAGAAAGAATTAGCTCTGAAATTTTGAGATAGAAAATGAAAAAAGATGTTATCGAAAAACAGGTCATGTATTCATATTGTACATCCAGTTCTTTCACTTTCCGTGTAACTTAGTGCATACCCATGGAACCAGAACCTGTGATTCTGGGTTTGAATCCTAGTTCACTTAGATTTTGTTTCTAGGTTTGTCAGCACCGGACCCATACTGAGGTTTATCTGTATTACCTCGGGTTTCCTCCTCCATGTAACTGACCCACTGTGAGAAAACTGAAATAATGTTAATGGTATTAAACCCAACTCACTCACTCACTCACTGTGTCACGCCATGACAGATTAACTATAGTTACAATAGTATTTGTGTTCCTGAAATATTTTTGGGTAGAATATCCAAAAGAAAATGTGGAACATAACCGTCTTGGTGCTGGAATGTAAGTACTATGAGACTATGTAAGTATATAACTGTTTATGGATTATCCAGAAAAAAACTCTGACAGCATATCCCCTCCTTAACCTAACAATAGGACAAGACACTCTGACAGCATATCGCCTCCTTAACCTAACTATAGGACAAGACACTCTGACTGTCAAGCTGTTTTTTCTTGACCCTAACTATGGGACAAATCAAGACATTGACATCTTGACCTTACTTGACCTTGCAACAAGATCCCTGACATGATGCCAGTCATGTCTACACTTGAAGGTGTTACGAGAAAATAACTTCAGAATTGAAGTGAGACGAATTCCATGAAGGATGGTGCATGTGTGCGAGCTATGCTCGAGAACCCTCTACAAGACACCCTGTTGTATCGGCTTGTAGATAAGTGACTTAATGAAGTTGTCTACGAAGGGTATACCCAAGCGATGATGGATGTTCAATGTAATTTTGTTTATTCCAGGTGACAGATTTGCAGTCCAGTGGAAAAATGTTGTGCTGAAGGATCAAAACGAGAGTAAGAACTTGTTATATCTGGGGTCAGTGGGGCCGCCTTGCAGTTGAAGCAATCGCTTGTTCAGTTTGGGTTCGATTCCACTCATACCCATGAAGATCCGGGTTAGAATTGATCTTCAGTAACCCCATGCTTGTCGTAACAGGCGACTAACGGGATCGGGTGGTCAGGCTCGCTGACTTGGTTGACACATGTCATTGGTCCCAATTGCGTAGATCGATGCTCACGCTGTTGATCCCTGGATTGTTTGGTTCAGACTCGATTATTTACAGACCGCCGCCATATAGCTGGAATATTGCTGAGTGTGGCGTAAAACTAACCTCACTCACTTGATTCCACACATGTTTACAATGTAATAAGCCCATTTCTGACCCAGCCATGACATCACTGCAGTAGTTTTAAAAGAGTGTGAAACCATATCCTATTATCTTTTAATGAAAACTATCCTGCTGACTACCTCCTTGGCGTTTGGTGCTAGAATAAGTCCCAAGAATCATGTCGGTTGTAAGGGGTGACTAACTGGATGTGGTGGTGAGACTTGGTTGATTGACGTCGTACCTCAACAGCATACATCGCTACTCACATCAGTCACTGGATTGTCTGATCCAGACACAGTTATAGTCACACACTCACTCCATGATTACTGCTTAGAGTGGCAAACTATCTAGGTGAGCACTCTTCTAATCCGTTTGCCAAGATTGCTGAATCAATTAGCAATTATGAAATATGCTCGCTGAAGGCAAATATATTCTCAGTATACATTCCCTAGGAATCCAGTTTAATCATGTTTATATATTGAACACTCCCAAAGGCCAGTAGAAAGCTGGGTAAAACGTATAAATGATATATTTCCTGCCCATAATGGTGCGACTGTTGGCTACAATGTTACAATGTTGTTGCTCCAGCTGGTACCTTCGACTTCCAAGTTCAGCTTCATGCAGATGGCACTATAAAGTTCCTCTACAAACAGGTGAGCACAGACTGTGTGAAGCGCCCATAAAATATCTTGTTACATCTCACAGAGAAACACTTGAGTTGGCTTCTTCCTACATTCTGTCATTATTCTTTTGTGTTACATGTTGAGTTTGCAATATGAATTAAACCTGGCTGAGGGTTAGGGGCAGGAGCTAGGATTTCTACAAGTGAGGGTTCGGGATATGTTATATTTCTAAACAAAAGTAATTGTGGATGTTCTGTTGTGGGTAAAAGTAAATTGCTTTGGCCTCTCAGAGAACCGCATTCAGGGATAGAAATACTTCTTTTTCTAAGTGTGCCTCAGGGCACCAGGCAAATATTTTAAACGTGCCTTTCAGAAATCAAGTGTGCCCACATGTAGCAATGATGATGATCATTTGAAATGTAATGTCAGTAAACAACAAATGTAACCTGTTTTCTGTTTTTACCGATATGTCTTGTTTAAGATGGCTTTCTTAAGCTTCATTTGTTCTGCTTTCCCAACACCTTTAATAGCTAAGAATTTTGTGACAGGTTTACTTGTTCAATATATCTAACATGCACAATTTCCTCTTCAATAACCAATCTATCAGTACTCCCATCACTCTAAATGGAAAAACAACCAGATTTCTTGACATCATCCATCATAATTCCAGTAATTTCCTTGGCGATAAAGTCAATAAATGTTTTTGCTTGTTTGTCATTTGCGTAAGTGTTTTGTTTTGGGGATTACATGACTAAGGGTGAGGTATGCGTGCCATAAGAACACCAAGAACATTTTTTATCCGTGCCATTTCAGTATTTACCGTGCCATGGCACCCTAATATATGGGGTATTTCGAACCCTGGCTTTGTAAGACCGTAAGATGCATGTCATTGTATCCCAGGATCCATGATTGGTCATAACATGGGTTGCTGGTTTGGATGATCCAGACACGCCACCATTGTAAAGATGGAATATTACTTTCTGCATCATTATGCAAACAAATATTAATGAACTATGATTTAAAAAAAATATTAATGTTTATTCCCCTGAAACTGTTTGAATGACTCTGACTTTGTCCAGTGATATGCTCAGATTGAGATGGCAGCAGATGTTAATGTTAATGAATACAGACAGCAGGTCATTATGATGCTTATTGCTCCTCTCTGTGTGATGATATGATGTTTTCTTTGTTATAGTTACCGATAAAACTGTCTGCTATATCCAGTCAGAACCACCCAGTGAAGATCGGTGTGTCCGACGCCTTTTATATTGACTCCTACCTCAAAGCCCAGGGTGAGAGGACACTCATTTTTCTTGGACTTGTCTGTGTGTGGTATCTTGATGTTGATCACTGGATTGTCTGGTCCAGACTCAATTATTAAAGACTGCCGCCATGTAACTGGAATATTTCTGAGTGTGTGGTTAAACAGCCAACAGTGTGCCGTGTACCTCCGGCCTTAAGGAGCTGGCACAGAGTGATCTGACTGAAATACTGTTCAAATTAACTCTTTACTAATAGTTGTTAGCAGCTAAAGTTTGGGCATATGTTGTCTTCAATACCACAGCTGCCTCACTTCACCATGCCAGGATCTGCTAATCTTGAATCCTAAAATTATGTCCAAAGTATTGTTGTACACAATCATTTGTCAACGTTGACTTGGTCAGAAAAGACTGTTGTCTTTAAAGTATTTTGAATTCACCATCCAGCTTCAGTTTGTGATATTTTCTGTTGTTTTGTTTTGCTGTAAGACGTATATAGCATGATGGCAATATACTTGTTCACAGTGACAAAATGTTGGTGTTTGTGTTTCAGGTATACGACGTAGAACGATCTACGAGTATCACCGAGTGTCCTTCCACCCAGACCAGGTTGAGCAGGGAACCGTCATCATCATGAAGCCACTGCCAAGTAACTACCTGTCTCACTCCAGTACTTAGCAGGCCCATTATAGGGTTCTGTGTCCCCAGGAGTCCAGGGCAGAACAGGTCCCCGATACTTCTTGCTGTTTGATCTGTGGGGATAACAGGGCAGAATAGGTCCCCAATACCTCTTGCTGTTTGATCTGTGTGGATAACAGGGCAGAACAGGTCCCCAATACACCTTGCTGTTTGATCTGTGGGGATAACAGGGCAGAACAGGTCCCCAATACACCTTGCTGTTTGATCTGTGGGGATAACAGGGCAGAACAGGTCCCCAATACACCTTGCTGTTTGATCTGTGTGGATAACAGGGCAGAACAGGTCCCCAATACTCCTTGCTGTTTGATCTGTGGGGATAACAGGGCAGAACAGGTCCCCAATACACCTTGCTGTTTGATCTGTGGGGATAACAGGGCAGAACAGGTCCCCAATACACCTTGCTGTTTGATCTGTGTGGGGATAACAGGGCAGAACAGGTCCCCAATACACCTTGCTGTTTGATCTGTGTGGGATAACAGGGCAGAACAGGTCCCCAATACACCTTGCTGATCTTTGATCTGTGGGGATAACAGGGCAGAACAGGTCCCCAATACACCTTGCTGTTTGATCTGTGTGGGATAACAGGGCAGAACAGGTCCCCAATACACCTTGCTGTTTGATCTGTGTGGATAACAGGGCAGAACAGGTCCCCAATACACCTTGCTGTTTGATCTGTGGGGATAACAGGGCAGAACAGGTCCCCAATACACCTTGCTGTTTGATCTGTGGGGATAACAGGGCAGAACAGGTCCCCAATACCCCTTGCTGTTTGATCTGTGTGTGTGGATAACAGATAACAGGGCAGAACAGGTCCCCAATACTCCTTGCTGTTTGATCTGTGGGGATAACAGGGCAGAACAGGTCCCCAATACTCCTTGCTGTTTGATCTGTGTGGATAACAGGGCAGAACAGGTCCCCAATACACCTTGCTGTTTGATCTGTGGGGATAACAGGGCAGAACAGGTCCCCAATACTCCTTGCTGTTTGATCTGTGGGGATAACAGGGCAGAACAGGTCCCCAATACTTCTTGCTGTTTGATCTGTGTGGATAACAGGGCAGAACAGGTCCCCAATACTTCTTGCTGTTTGATCTGTGTGGTGTGGATAACAGGGCAGAACAGGTCCCCAATACTCCTTGCTGTTTGATCTGTGTGGATAACAGGGCAGAACAGGTCCCCAATACACCTTGCTGTTTGATCTGTGGGGATAACAGGGCAGAACAGGTCCCCAATACACCTTGCTGTTTGATCTGTGTGTATAACAGGGCAGAACAGGTCCCCAATACACCTTGCTGTTTGATCTGTGTGGGATAACAGGGCAGAACAGGTCCCCAATACACCTTTTGCTGTTTGATCTGTGGGGATAACAGGGCAGAACAGGTCCCCAATACACCTTGCTGTTTGATCTGTGTGTGGATAACAGGGCAGAACAGGTCCCCAATACACCTTGCTGTTTGATCTGTGGGGATAACAGGGCAGAACAGGTCCCCAATACACCTTGCTGTTTGATCTGTGGGGATAACAGGGCAGAACAGGTCCCCAATACACCTTGCTGTTTGATCTGTGGGGATAACAGGGCAGAACAGGTCCCCAATACACCTTGCTGTTTGATATGTGTGGATAACAGAGCAAAATAGGTCCCCAATACACCTTGCTGTTTGATCTGTGCGGATAACAGGGCAGAACAGGTCCCCAATACCTCTTGCTTCTTGGCCTGTCCGGATAACATTATCTGTACTTATTTCCTCAGTACTTATTTTTTCAAGAATAGATTCCCCCATTCTCAGTATTTGTTTCCTGATACAAGCAGCCACACATGTGTATGCATGCTTGAATGGGATGTTGAGCCCAGTTTCCCTTCACCTCAAGAATAGTTCCCACTGTACCAGGCACTTAATTATAGCAGAAGAAACAAAATGCACACTCAGCATTACTAACACACGATGCCTGCATCCGCCTTTGTATTGCTAAGCGATGTTCCAATGAATGTTCCAGCATGCAACATCATCTCGGACTGCAGGAAGTGTGTGAATCACGACTCTGAACAAGTGAAATTTGACTGCAAGTGGTGTGGTTCACTGGGACGTTGTTCAGACGGAATAGACTGGCACCGTGCGGAGTGGCTCAACAGTGGATGCTCCAAGCTGGTAGGAACTAATTGCACCCCTACACAAACACCTTGTTTTATCAGTACTGTCAAAATTATTGTTCAGGATTTAGACACACTAACATTCACGAACCCCAATTCTCCTGTGAGTGGACAAGTGCATTGTACTTCCTGTAGATAAGGGCTAACTACTTTTTTAACTATCCACATTTATTAAACACTTTAACTTGTTGTCACCCCCAGCATGAGCCTTCTGTGACAGCAGTAAGGGGACAATGGCTGCAAACTGTGGTACCTTAGTGGCCGTTAGTGTCACATTAGTGACTGTGACGCGTTCACTCGTCGCACCGAAGACCCGGCTTCGATTCCCCACATGGGTACAATGTGTGAAGCCCATTTCTGGTGTTCCCTGCTGGAATATTGCTAAAAACAGCATAAAACTAAATTCACCCACTCACTCACTCACTCACTTACCAACTGTCTTGTTGGATATCAGCCAGGCTGGAGTACTGTGCAGTCAACATCATATGGCTCTAAATTGCATGTTTTTTCATGAAGCCTCTTGTGGCTTGTTTTGATGACAGTTAACTTGCGAAACATCAGTTTAAAGTATTTCTGAATATTTTCAAAATCTCTGTCATGAATATTTTGTGTTCTCTTTCAGTATAACATGCACAAAATATGGAGTGATTTCGAACTTGACTTATCAAATCACCGAATTGCTCCTGTTATGTTTTATGGGCACTTGTCTAGTGGACCGCCGTATTTGTCGAACTTGTTAACATGTCTGCATGACAACCTGACCCCTCTGTAAGATCACTCGCTTTCAGTATATCCTTGCAACAATATTCCACAAAACAATGTAACCACTTCAATTTTGACTAACATTCCTATCACTAAAAGGGGTGGTGGGGTAGCCTTGTGGTCGAAGCGTTCGCTTGTCACGCCGAAGACCCAGGTTCAATTCCCCACATGGGTACAATGTGTGAAGCCCCTATCTGGCACTGCTGGAATACTGCTAAAAGCAGCGTAAAACTAAATTCACTCACTATTCACTAAAACTGTTTGATCCAGTCCCAGATACGTGACATTGATAGGGGTAAGGTCTCTTTGAGGAATGGTCCTGCTTAGGTCAACAGATTCGACTACAGGTGGGGTTTCAGGTCATACCCCCAGTAAACCTACTAGAGTTAGAGGAGATCAACTGGGTGTAAGTGTATCTTATGTCAGTACTGACCAGAAAAACTTTTGTACTGGAATGCCAGAATGAATTTCTAGATTCTTGCAATGTAGTTAATCAACGTTGCCATCAAAACTTGTTACTGGAAGGACATGCTCCTGCAATGAATTCTTGACAGTGCAGTATTGACATGACCGCAGCTATATGGCTGGAATATTGCTGAGTACGACCTAAACAGCAACCCAACCAACCAACCTACCTGTCATTTCCAAATAATTTGGGGTTGGTTTTTTTACAATCTGTGGACAGTCAGTAAAGGGCCTTATATTGCAAGACAACTAATCATTTTCCAATTTTCATTCTCTTATTGCTTCGTTGCAGTTTTCCCAGTCTCGGGTATGTTTAATGTATCACAGCATGCATGTAGTGTTGATGTCAGTGACAGTGTATTCAGTTTATTTATAGACATGGGGATTTCCGTGTCTTGTGGACATAGGAACCAACCATTCTCTCAGTGGTATGGAATACTGCAGATTGTTGGTTATATAACATTTTAGATCCAAGATAGCATCCAGCAATATGATGCCAATGTTTGGTACAGGAAGAATACTATGAAATTATTAAATTATTTTGGAGCAATTTTCATGATATTGCATACCATTTGTAGAATCAATTGAAATCCAAATTTTGCAATTATTTATAATTCAATTAAAAACATTTCATCAAGATAATTACCAGTGAGTGAAATGGTGTGGCAAGTTCGTGTACATTGTGCACATTTTATTTTCCTCAAAGGTTCAATACTTTTTCATTTTATTTTTCTTTCTTAGATTCTTCTGCTCTTTTGTTTTGGTCATTATTCTGTTTCTCCTTGGTGGGTGCAGGCTCAAACATTACACGCGGAACATGGGGAAGTGTGCAGCATATTGATGTATTCTTGAAAGTTGCTTTGGGAATTTGCCCAGTAAAGTAAACACAACTTCACTTAAAGAGGGAAATATTGATCAACATAGGATACATCACACAAGCTGCTGTTGTTGTATTTCTATTACTTAGGAATCAATTAGATTATAACACTTATGAGTCCAGAATGACATATCATTATCTATTTTTACTTAAATAATCACAGATATATTTGTAGCAGTCTATTCTCCATGTGAAACTATCCCTCTCTTTGTCTAACAATCTCCATGCTGAATATTAACCTATAACTCCCATGCTATCATTTGGCCCAAAGCAAGCATTGTTCTCAGAGTCGGTGAACTTTTATTTCCATATCCCTGTAAATATTCCCTGAACATTTGTTGCTTTTCAATATTGTGTGCATCAGTACAAGTACAATCAGTACAATCAAGAGGGCCGTGATCCCGATACACCCCTATTGTGTTCCAAGGTTTGTCTCAACCATACGCATGCTCCCAGGTTATATAGACATCTTAGACAGTGAAACGATGTAAAGATATGGTACTTGTTGGCATTCGGCATTAATGCGTACAACAAGGACTGGTGGCTCGGAGTCAGTATAATGTGTCTGAGTGGGGTATTCATGCTTAACTGCGGCATGGTATCTCAGTGGGCTAGCACTATAAAACCAGCTTAAGTCTGGGCTAGTACAAGCAGCCACACCTGAACACGCATGCACGTCACATGAGCGAAATGTTGTCAAGTACGATGTTATACCCTATTTCACCTCACCTCTTAGACAATGATCACGTGACTCTCACACTGAGATGAAACACCATGATGTAACTGGAATGCTTTTAAAAGCAGTGTTAAACAAACTCACACACTTACTCACATTCATACCAGAGAATTCCTAGTTTGAGACAAAATAAGGATTTTCTCACAACTTGACTGAACAGTAAACTTGGTATAGAATTCTTCATAAATCCCTGCCAAGACGTGGAAGACTTTATGTTTATGTTTGGACTTTATTGCACTTTCTCAGTAAAGTAAAGATTCTTGTCAAGGCACCTAATCACAAGCACACAAAGTCGGCAATCTAACCCATTCTAGCCTTGAAGCCATGGACAGGTGATCTGCAAGTCATACTGTCCATTCATTATCAAGGAGTGTCTGAAGCCAAGACAATATGAGGTGACACAGTGACACAATGTTGGCCTGTAGCCCTGTGACCTATATTCCATGTTGGAAGATAGGGCAGAAACGATTCTGTCCAACTTTGTCTGAGGTAACTGACTGGAGACCACATGGCTCACCAAGCATGCTCAGTAATTTGTCTGAGGCAAAGGGGAGATAACTGTGAAGGACAGGGGAGATAACTCTGAATCACAGGGGAGATAACTCTGAATCGCAGGGGAGATAACTCTGAAGGCAGGGCATTTACCTACCTGATTGTGTTTCATGGTTTGTTGCCACCATGCCCATGAGCATAGGTTTCCTGAAATGTTAAACATTGGAGACCTTCATCACTTCGGGCTGTCCTCCCATACAAGCAGATATACCGGAACATGTATTGTCTGGTATTCTATTCAAAGCAGTGTTGAACCCACCTCACCCACTCACTCACTCACTCGTCACAATACTCACTTAACCATACTCTCTCTATTGCTGTTGTACACAACTGCTGTACCCCAACTAAAAGCTGTAGTCACACCCTCTCTTTTAACTTTAGTCTGACTAATTAACAATAGCATTTTTTTTCATTCGAATAACATGGATGCTTTTTGGATTACCAATCATGAATCCACTACACAGGTAGACATGCACAATGATTATGTTTGTACTGGTACTCTAACGCTCTGTTGCTATAATAAATAGGTTTGATGGTTGGAGTACGGCCACATGAGCTGTCTGCAACTCTTGCCACATGTCCAAAGCCAGAGTCCAGTAAACTTCTATTCAGTGTAGTCAGCTCAGTGCATGTTATATCATGAGACATCTGTGAAATAGCGGGAATATCGCTGAATGTGGTGTTAAATATGCAGGACAGTAATTGTGTCAGCGTGTTGGCGGTGATCATCATAGGTCAATAGCGGTGTCATTTCTCATTATACTAACCACATGGGTGTTACTCAAGAATTTGAAGAATGTTCTTCATGTTCTTCCCATGTATGTTCCAACACAGGCGAGACGTTCCGTCTATTATTTTTGCTGTGTGCTTTTAGTTTTTAGGTAACCCTGTGCAGTGGCTAAATGATGTCATCTATGATCTCCATCTTGAGTGATCCACAAAAAGTTCATTAATACGTAGTAAATGTTCAGGTCTATAGAATACAAACTTAACATTAATATTGGTGCATTAACAAGGAAGTGCAACTTGATTTTAGGCGCTAAATAGTACAGCCCAGTGTGATGCAACAACTACAAGTACAACAACTGCATCTCCAACTACTCCTACTACTACAACAACAACTACTCCTACTACAACATCAACTACTCCTACTACAACATCAACTACTCCTACAACTCCAGCTCCAACCACCACCACCACCACTACTACTACTACTACCCCTCCATCTACCTCATCATCAGCCCCCATTAGTGCCAGACGTTCGGATTGTGGTGGGGTGAGCAGAACGAGCATGGAGACTGACATTGATACTGGTTGCATTACAGCTAGTTCTGCTAGTAACAATATCCTAGACAACTCACCATCAACTAACCCTTTGAAAAAACACTGCTACACAGATAACTAACCTGGCTGGGGATACCACTGCTGCCACTGCTGCTACTGCTACTGCTTTGGAAAATACTGCTGATATGACAAATACTAATACTGCTGCTTCATATGATAAAGTTTCACAAAATGACCGACAGTTCATGTTAACGACAGTTTCCACAAAAATAGTATCCACTTTGCGTGAAAACACTGAGAAAGGGACATCAACCGACAACAGAGCCATACACTCACTCATACTCACTACACCAAGAACTAGGATCGGTGACAAGAATGTCCGCTATCACGTTGTCGATGGCAACACAGCTTCCGGACAGTCTGGAATCACAGGATCAGCATCAAGTCTCTTGGAGGGTTTCCTGTGTGATGTAAATGACTTTGTTTCTCTAAGTGTCGTACATGTGAAATCTGCTTCGGTTGACTGTTTCGAACACACACACTGACTATACAACAAGGTGGACAGACAGACAGAATAAGTGTGCATTCCAACATTGTCAGCAGAACACATTGATCAAGACTAAAACCAAGTTCTTACAAATAAGCAGCTGAAAATATTATTACTCCAAAGTAATTATTTGTCTAATTGAAAGAAGAAGAAATATACATAGGATAAGAACAAGGCTCTAAGGGACTGTACATGAGATACGGGTTGTTATACACTACTTAGTGGATAATGCATGGCCTTGATTGGTTGTCATAGAGATCTGTCCCCTTGTTTGATGCACTACTGCTTATACTGTTTCTCTCTGAGATATCTATTGTTCTGTAAAAGAGTGTGTAGATGGATTCATTGTGGCATGTGTGTGCATCTGTCTGGCCTGCCTTCATCCTGCACAGCAGTTGTAGACATTGCACAAAACAAGGAAGTGTGGCATCATCATCATCTCAAATGTCAATGAATGAATGCTCAGTCATTTTGTGCAATTTAAATAATTGTCAAATTACAAAGTTTTCATAGATATTACAGCTCTTGGTAGGAACATGTGAAACATTGACCCTTCAACCTTCAAAGATGAGGTTTCTACTGGCAAAGCTGCACAGAGGGAAAAGTCGTTTTTATTTGGCAATTCATTTGTCCTGAAATGGTTCCATATTTGTTCACTTTTGACCTAAAGAGTGAATTAAAATGACATGTGATTGTTTGCCATACAGCACTCACCTCAATCTGCAATTGTTTCTCTTCTCTACTTTGTTTTAGGAGTAGTTTAATGTTGTCATTGTTGCAGCACTTGGGTGTAGCTATTTCAGGCTGTTTGTTTATTTTCAAATGATTGCTTTCATGTGTCTTCTTCCATGTATACCGCTCAAAATAACTCACGGAATTCCCACGCTTTTCATATGACTTCTGTCAAAGTCATGATAGATTAACTGTAGTGTTATGATATAATCAGATGTTCTTTAGTTCGTTAGTTCTTTGGACACAGACAGCCTGAACTAATGTCTTGTATGGGACATAAGTTGTATGGGGCAACTAAGCATTCTGTGAAGTGTTTTGTCCCTTCGATGTAGCCGGATTCATTATTGAGGGTTTGAATCTCACATTCAACCGTAATCTTTTGGCCTCTGCATCATCAATGCAACTGCTAAAGAGATTAATCAAAAACTGAAAATATCCAAATGCTGTGGCTTTTCATTCAGCCTTGATGACTTGATGTCACTGAAATATAGTTCATTGTAATGTGACATGGAATTGGTCCCATCACCTTGGATCAGTATCAATTCACACATGACCTGACCCAGTCAGGATTATATCCAGTCCAAGATCCAGTATGACGGATAGCCGGTCACATTCCACTTTCCTCTGATAATCTGTGGTGGCCAAGAGGCCAAAATGCACAATCAGCTGGTCAGTATTGCATTCAAATCCCAGCCATGTTAAAGTTTAAGATCTGTCAGTACAGTTCTGTTCATAGTTCTTGTGACTTCCTGAGAGGTGTATTGTAGTTGAGACCCGTGAAGATCCAGGATAGAATAGGTCTTCAGCAACCAATGCTTGCCACAAAAGGCAACTATGCTTGTCGTAAGAGGCGACTAACGAGATCGGGTGGTCAGGCTCGCTGACTTGGTTGACACATGTCATAGGTTCCCAACTGCGCAGATTGATGCTCATGCTGTTGATCACTGGATTGTCTGGTCCAGACTCAATTATTTACAGACTGGCCATATAGCTGGAATATTGCTGAGTGCGGCGTAAAACTAAACTCACTCACTTATTGTAGCTGTTGAAGTCCAGGTGTCATGGCCGTGGTAGTGTTTAAGATCTGTCAGCACTGTCCGGTTCATAGTTCTTGTGACTTCCTGAGAGTGGTATATTATAGTTGTTGAAGTCCAGGTGTTGTGGCCTCAGAAGGTGTGGATAGATATTTGACTGCAGTCTTTCTGTGACCAGACACACAGAACGGTGTTCTGAACAATGATCAGTTCCAAACTGTAAGAGGCAACTAACGGCTCGCTCACTTGGTTGACACATGTCGATGCTCATACTGTTGATCATGGGATTGTCTGGTCCAGACTCAATTATTTACAGACCACCACCACCATATAGCTGGAATATTGCACAGTGCAGCATACAACTACTCACTCACTCACTCACTCACTCACTCACACACACACACACACACACACACACACACACTCACTCACTCACTCACTCACACACTCACACACTCACTCACTCACTCACACTCACACTCACTCACTCACTCACACTCACACACACACACACTCACTCTCACCCTCACTCTGTTCCAACACTGACGTACCAACATGTACGGAACCAAGCAAATCCTCTTCTTCTTTTTTCTGTTTTTTCTGTTCTGTGAAAACTTGTTTGTCTGTATATGTGACTTATTATGTTCCCTTGAAGCTTACTAAGCAAACAGTGTTTGTTTTGTGTACAGATTTCTAACAATTTCAGAAAAAAAGCTATTTGTGAAATCAGAGCAGGCCCTCTGGCCTGTGAAGACAGAGTAACATGTGCACATATCTGGCTTCTCCTGTACCCAGCTCACCCGGTTCTCTGCCTATCTTTCTCTACACCATGTACGGCTTAGACTAAATCTTCCAAGCAGCAAAGCAATGCAGTGAATGACTGCCTCTCCCAGTACAGGGGACATTTGCTTGTACATGCTTGTGGATGGGTCCGTCTTGTCAGTTTATGAATGTTTAGTTTGCAGTCTTAGACTGGTAGCATGCAGTGTGTGAAATAGCTGCTTGCCCTCCAGCACGTGGCAAGCAAACAGGTCAGGCTGAAGGTTCCGATTTTTCATGGATTTTTCATGTACAACTCTTAGTTGATTAAATATATATGTTCTCCCATTTCCTGTAAATCCATCAAAAATGAAAATAAATGATTTAATATTGGTGTTGAATCAGTTTCAAGATTAGAGTTATCCCCTGTCATCTTGTCTGAGTGGCTGTTCTGAGTGTAACATTGTGTATACAAAACCTGTTTTGATTGATGGTAATTTCTTGTTTAAACTATTTTTATAAAGTTTGACTGCCAGTGTCAAACTTTGTTAGGACCAGAAATAAAATTTTGCATTTTTGAGCAAGTGAAGTTTGAAACTGCTTGGTAATTTTGAAGGTTAGCTCTCCCTGCTGGCCACTTATAACCATTGATATTTTGAGAGTATTTCACACACTGGCTGCATGTATTCCTAGAAATAGTTTTGCTGCTATGTAACTTATCTGACAAAATAATCTTCCGTGGTTGGGAATTATTTCTTAATTTTTGTTTATGTTAACAGTAGCATATTTCTGTATTATCAATATGTTTTATAGGATTTTTATTAATTCCTTTGTAGAGTCAAAGAGATTATTGTGAAAGCCGACTGATCATGACCCTCTGAGAATCAATCTATTATTATACTGTCTTAACTTCAATATATATTAAGCACAATAGACATTAGTGTCTAGTTAATTAATCTGTTTTGATAATTAATGTATTGACATAAATCAGATTAAGATTGAGATGTTTATATTAAACAGCTCACATGTCTGGTTAGTAGGGTTAACTGTACCACTTCTGTTGCTTATCACAATCCTCACAATCACATGTTTTAATCATAACGATATACCTGTCTGCGTGAACACCTGACAACATCTGGTGTAGCCACATGTCTTTATGTTTGTGTTCAACCCGTGAAGGTTTCAGGTTTCAGCAACCTTAGTTTGCTAATTAACTCTCTACCATGAAGATCCAGGCTAGAATCGGTCACCAGCAACCCGTGCTTGTCATAAGAGACGAGTGGGTGGTCCAACTCGGTGACATGGTTGACATTTGTCATCATATCCCAGGTCTACAGTGTGTGAATCATTGGATTGCCTGGTCCAGACTTGATTATTTGCCAACTACCATCATATAGCTGGAATATTGCTGCAGTGTTAAACTACAAACAAATCCAACTCGATATGAATGTTTTGCTCCGACCTTGGATAAAGAAGCATTGATGCTGATTGGCTAATTAGAAAGTCACATGGTCTCATGGTGTTGTCAGATGTTCACACAGAGAGGTGTCTGATTCCAGTAAATGATCTGATGTTGATGTGATTGGGGTAGTTGTTGGTCTTGTACAGTCTGGACATGAGAAGTGAGCTACCTGTATGGTTGTCGAACATGTACCTGCAGTCTGTGATACTGGTAGTCACGGCTACTGATGACAAACGTATTCAATAACTGGACTGTTTCATAGCCCTAGATGTTTAGTAATAGGGGATATTTATTACATCAGGTGATATTTTATAATGTTTTCTTTTTCTCTACAGAATAACACTGAAGGACTATGCAAGGTGCCTGACAGTAAGTGTGTTTTGTGTTTTGATTGTGAAGATCCAGGTTACAGTTGGTCATCGCCAACACATGCTTGTTAAAATAGTCCACTATACTTGTCATATTAGGTGTACCTGCCATGATATTGGTGGAATATTGCAAAAAGCGATGTAAAACCCAACTCACTCACTCACTCACTATTAGATGGGATCAGGAGGCCAGGCTCACTGACCTGGTTGATGCCTGTCGTTGTATCCCAACAGAGTAGATCAATGCTGATAATGCCAGTCCCTGGATTGTCTGGTCATGGTTTGCTTATTACAGACCTCTGTCAATGAGCTGAAATATTGCTGAGTATGGCTTCAAATAACAAACAAAACAAAATCATGGTTGCAAGTTTCTGATAGAGAAAGCAATGTTTCCGATGCCTTGTCTCATGTTCTCGTGAATGGTTGGAGCTGGAACTCGAGGGATGTTCGACTAGCTACAGGCAGGTTCTCTTTGGCTGACAACACAATATTGCATTCCTGGTCTTTTGGTTTGGCCAAACATGACATGATGACACATTTTTTTGTGGTTTGTTTGGTGAGACAGTTCATTTGCATTACATTAACTATCTTCATATTTTGGAAGAAAAAAACATTCTGTTATTAGAAAGCCCCTTTCACAGATTCATGACCTGTTCACTCGACGAGCCTTGAAGGTGTTATAATCTTCCACACACCTGCAGAGGGTCATTATGTGCCATGTGCAGGTTGCTTGGTTATTTGTTGGCCTGCATATTAGAGTTACCTTCCCTTGTTTATAAATCCAGGTTTTGGGAACCCTATAATAGGGGGATATGAATGACCAAAGGCTTACAACTTTGGGTGGGACAGATGACAGTTTGTATTAGATTCTTGTTCCCAAGCAGTCTTTACTGATGACTAAAAGTAGGATAAGTCCTGGCTTGCTTGACTGACAGTCAGTTTTCTACTTTGAAGAATATGTTGCACAAGTTTATCTTTACCGTATATGACCGTCTATAAGACGACCCCATGGATAAGACGACCCCCAAACTTGACCCTTAAAATCACTGTCAAAATGGTATGTTTCGTGCATAAGTCGATCCCCCAGCGTTGGGGTCTTAATCGCAGCACGAAAGTGATTCAATGCTGTTTTCTTACCCCTGGGAAAAAGTTTGTCGAAAGTGTAACCCGTGGATAAGACGACCCCCTTCTACAGACTGCTTTTTGGGGTCCTCAAAATTCGGCTTATAGACCGTAATATACAGTACGGTTTGAGTTTGTGGGTTAAGTGAGCTACAGAGCCTAGCAATTCTACTTTAAGGCAATGTAATCATTATGAGAGTGTTGATGATTTGTTGGTGTTTCAGATTTCCCTGTTGGAGCAGTTGTGGCCATCGTCATCCTCCTCTTGGTGGTGTTTGTGGGCGTGGGAGTGTGGGTGTTCTACGCTTACACACATCCTACTTCAGCATCAGGGATGTGGCTGATGGAGGTGAGTTCGGGCTGTCAGAGTGGACGTTGGTATGGGTGTGGGAGTGTGGATGTTTTTGTCGTATCATTAGTGTTAAGGACAGAGTATGGGGTGTTAGTGTTTGAATGTGGGTTATGGTGTTGATGTCAACTGGGTTGTGTGTATCTCATTGTGGTTGTTAGTGAGACAGTGTAAATTGGTGTTGGTAATTATTCAAGTGAAATATGTGCTAGGTCAAGACAGTTTGACTATTTTCCAAGGTGTCCTGAATGTGTGTTCCTGTTCCTGTTCATTATCACTGTTCTCGATCTCCTTACTGCGCCCTGGTCTGTCACTGCACTATTATGCTTTGAGTGGCAGTTAGAAGTTGGAAGGACATTATTCACAATAACAACTTCTTTTATTGTGATTGCAACATTTCGATACAGATTCTTGTATCATCACTGTTCTCGCTTATGAATCATCTAGGCCTGTAACTGACTGTCACTGTTTTCTTTGCAGCATCGTCCCAGCCAGATGAAGGAGAAGATTGCCAACATCAAGTTCTGGAAGTCCAGCACCCCGACTGGCACAAAATATCAAGTGGAGTCCGAGGCATGAGACAGCAAGGGGAGATAACTCAAGGAGACAATGTTCTATTTTGCACTATCATAAAGGCCACAATTTAGTTTAGTGGGTTGCGTAAAGTAAACAATATCAATGTAAGACATATAACATTAACAATAAGTCATATTTTCAGTATGGGGCTCTAAATAATGATGTACATGTTATACACAGTATCTTGATGCTACTCTTAGTGTAAGACAATTTTCACTTTAGGTGAGATCTCTAGTATTCAGACTTGGTAACAACAATGTGCTAATATCCATGGGAATTTATACAGAGACCAAATTTGGGGTTTGAGAGCAGATTTCACAGGACTTTCCACTGTGAGATACTGACACGTAGTATTGGTCCGTGTTTTATGCAGCACTGTGATTGCACCTTACATTCATGTTGAGTGTTACTGTATTGCTGTGTCTAAGTGTCACCTTACAGGAGGAGAGAGGGACGAATCAGTGTTTTCTGGTTGATCAGTGAACGCTCAAGCAGATGTTTCATACAAAGCCAGCAGAGAGCTCATGTGACATGATGACCTTTCGGCCATGTTTTGGTTTTCATCAGTTGCTGTTTACTAAATTTAGGGACAAGTTAGTGCTCCGGGGGCTTGTCAACAGTGCAGACAACATGGAGCTGTAAGTGTTACTTGGGCTCGTAAACATCGCTAAAATACATGTAAAAACATGGATCGGTAGACTGGTTAACTGGTGGGCATTCTCATAATGCCTACAGACATAGGTGAGACAATTTGCACTTTGCTTGTACATTAAACAAATAATGCCAGAAATTAGGATACGGTATTTTCCGAAACGGGAATATTTTTTACTTCTGCACTTAGTCTCCTCAAACAAATATGGCCGACATGTGTCCACAGGTATAGTGCATGTGTACCTCATTATTATATTATACTCTGTTCTTTGTGAATAAGCCTTTACACAGGACACAGGAGAAACTCTCTGCTGGTGATGTATGTACTAGGATTTGTATTATAGCCTCAACAGGTGGGTGCAGATTATTGTATATATGAATGTGTGTTATTCCAAGATGAGGTAAAAATCTGTGATATTATCAACAATGAAGGAGCTGGCGTAACATTGAGATTGTCTAACTATGTTGACATTTTGTTCAAGACATGAATCGCTTTCACTAGACTGTATATACAACAATGATTTAGCATTCAGTAAATATGATACTTCTCTTAGTAATCTGAATACATTTTGGCTTTCCAAATTTTCATGTTAATCATATGTTTCACAACTAGTTGTAGGGATAGGCTCCTGAATGAATTCTTTTCTTAATTTTTGCATCAGGTACAAGATTTATGGCTTTAGAACATATCAACTTATTCAGACAATGTTTGTAAGCTGCAGATTGTTTTTTAGTTCATTTTTAAGAATTGAAGATGTGACAAGATGTTTTTAGTTTTTGAACTCTTGTTCCTGTGGAGCTTTTCCTTTATCACAGGCACCAGACATATTCTACTCAATAGAAGTTACAGAATGCCTGATTCTTTCATAGTAGTATACATACTCAGTCATCGGAGGGCAGATACAGTATAGTACTATGAAAGAATCGGATACACCTAAACTTGTTTTGCGTAGTATATGTCTGCTTGTAGAACAATACCTGTGTGTGAAATGTCCATGCCATAATGACACAATATTTTTATATTTAGTCAGCCTGATGATCTTGCTTCACCTTCAATTTTAAACTGTGACTTACTATGAACATATCAATTTTTACGTATTTACGCATGTTTTTTTTAGACGTTATAAGGTTGTTGATCATACCTTGTTTGCGTTTCACTTGCAAGGAACGGTGTATCCATGGCAGATCTGACCATTTTTTATTTGCATACATGACACGACATATACAAATCCTTTTGCACTTTTTACAAACAGAACAGCAATAACAACCTTAAAAAAGCAATTACGACAAAATTATGTTTCTTTGACTCTCCACGCACTTTCAGTAAAAACATTATATTGTACTGTGTTTCGTGTTTCGAGCAACATGCAATGTGCAGTAGTACAGGTGATTGTTCCACACCCAGTAGACTCATGGTGCCTGGGATACAATGTGTGAACACCCACTCACTCACTCACTCACTGGCTGATGAGTACCTGTCTACAGGAGGCCAATGTGAACACATTATGGATGCGTACAGCATTGTTGGTGTCTAAAAGACAAGTACTTGTTATCAATAATGTATATGGCAATTGCTTCAGGAATGAGGCATACATATATACGACCTCTTTACTGCACTTCCTACCACAAGAGATTTCACTTCTCCATGGGAAATGCTTCTGTGAGATTTGGTGTTGAACTAATGAGGAAGACGAGAGTTTGTTTACATTTCGGTTTTATTGACACTTTTGATGAGTTTTTGTGTTTTTGCAATTCTACCACATTCCTATTTTGCTTTATGTCCTTAACAAAATGGGTGTTTTTGTACACCCAACAAGGGTGTTGTCTTATATGGAAAAGGGTGTTGGGTGTCGTGATACACTTCACAAGGTACATCTTTGTACATTTTGTGAGGGTATTACCTGACAAAGGTGTCGTGATACTCCTAATTGGGTGTCTTTGTACATTTAAGGGAAATGATGTATTAAACCTAACAGAAGGCTTGTCACAATACACTTACAGAAAGGGTGTCATAATACACTCAGTAGGGCTGTTATGTTTGTCACATGTATGAATCTCATCTCAGTTAATGCTGTATTTGTTTCCACCGTGTAGCTACCAACTCACTCACTCACTCTATCAGATTTGTCATGAGCGCCTCTGTCATTGGCTGTCTGTACAAAATCAAACTCAAGTTTTCAAAATCTGCTGTGATTGGTTCTAATTACTGGGGATACTAGTAGCTAAACTGAACAGGTATTAGACTCACAGCTGAACAGGCAGTAGACTCAAACTAAACCAGAGTTTGATTATCAAGACATATTTGATCAGGGCCCTGTTTCATGAAGACATTTTTACACTTTGACTGTAAGAACTTAGTACTATAACTTTCGTGTGTCTGTCTATGTTGAACTGTGGGGATTACGACAATCTTAGTTCGATGACTGTCGTATGTGTATGTTGAGCTGTGGGAGTTACGACAATCTTAGTTTGATGACTGTCGTATGTGTATGTTGAACTGTGGGAGTTACGACAATCTTAGTTCGATGACTGTCGTATGTGTATGTTGAATTGTGGAAGTTACGACAATCTTAGTTCGATGATCTTAGTTCGATGACTGTTGTATGTCTATGTTGAATTGTGGGAGTTACGACAATCTTAGTTCGATGACTGTTGCATGTTTGTCTGTGTTGAACTGTGGGAGTTACGACAATCTTGGTTCTATGACTGTCGTATGTCTGTTGAACACTTGGAGTTACGACAATCTTAGTTCTATGAGTGTTATTTGTCTATGTTGAACTGTGGGAGTTACGACAATCTTAGTTTAGTGACTGTCGTATGTGTATGTTGAACTGTGGGAGTTACGACAATCTTAGTTCAATGACTGTCGCATGTTTGTCTGTGTTGAACTGTGGGAGTTACGACAATCTTAGTTCTATGACTGTCGTATGTCTATGTTGAACTGTGGGAGTTACGACAATCTTAGTTTGATGACTGTCGCATGTACATGTTGAACTAGGGGAGTTACAACAATCTTAGTTCGATGACTGTCGTATGTACATGTTGAACTAGGGGAGTTACAACAATCTTAGATCAATGAGTGTCCTATGTCTTCTGGTATGTTGAACAGTGGGAGTTACGACAATCTTGGTTCTATGACTGTCATATGTGTATGTTGAACTAGGGGAGTTACAACAATCTTAGTTCTATGACTGTCGTATGTGTATGTTGAACTAGGGGAGTTATGACAATCTTAGTTCTATGACTGTCGTATGTGTATGTTGAGCAGTGGGAGTTACGACAATCTTAGTTCTATGACTGTCGTATGTCTTCTGGTCTGTTGAACAGTGGGAGTTAGGACAATCTTAGTTCTGTGACTGTCGTATGTGTATGTTGAACAGTGGGAGTTACGACAATCTTAGTTCTATGACTGTCGTATGTGTATGTTGAACAGTGGGAGTTACGACAATCTTAGTTCTATGACTGTCGTATGTCTTCTGGTCTGTTGAACAGTGGGAGTTAGGACAATCTTAGTTCTGTGACTATCGTAAATCATAACACGACAACTGCTTTATGAAACAGGGCCCTTCTGGTCACTTTCTGTTTTTAAACCAGAAAGCAGTCTTTTGGATTGTGCAGGTTGGGGTGTGTGATTCAGCTATATTTACACTCTGTCGTCAAACAATATCAACTCCATTTCAACATTTATGCATAATCAATGTCACAGAGTCTGCCAAGCTCTGGATCACATCGGTGTGACGATAGGGCTCATAATGTGATACGTCCTGCAATAAATGAGTTGTTATGGGTCAGTTCCACTGTATGATACAGCCAGGGCACAGAGAGCCAACACAGTCTGGAACAGATGAGGTTTATAGCATGGTGAGGCTGTTGTGAAGTGGAGTGGTGTCTCACGCTACCAACACACCTTAAAATGGATGTGGACGTTGATAATTGTTGTTGAGGAAAGATGGCACTTTGTTTTTATGTATAATGTTCATAGGATTTTGTCGGAAAGTTATTTCTCAGATAACACATCAGTGCCATGTCTTAAGAGAGATGCCTGGAGTTGCCACGCACGACAATCGAGCGTCAAACTCAAACAAGCAGATATCCCTTCAGGACAGTTAAGTAATGATTGTAGCAACACTAATAATCCCACTGGCGACATCCTTACCTTGTCAGCTTGCTAACGATATCCTTAACTTGTTGGCTTGTCAACAGAGTAGATAAAGCACCCACTTCCAAATCTGTGAATCTCTACTGGCCGACCATTACAGCTGCTGTCTGTCTGTGTGTCATGACGTCAGGACTTGCTCAATGAACAGACCTCAATGAAAGATCTACGTTCCACATAAGATGGCATAATTATGTTCATGTCGGGAAACATCTGTAGGTTAATATTTCAAGTATGTACAGATAAACAAGCCAACAGCAACAAAATTGTTATTATTTATGGAAGTTTACTGTTTTGTTTAATTTATTGTGTTAAGGTTTTTATGAATGTATTTATAAGTGTTACATAAGTGTAAAAAGGTCAAGTTGGAACTTGTATTAGAATCTTCTTTTGCAGGTGTTTAATCTCATTTTAATATTAGAATGGGCATCTTCGTCGAACGTTTTTTACTTGTACAAAGCCCATGACCCTTTGTTTGTTAAAGTGGACATGAATGACAGGAGTTTGTGATCTCTAACACTCAGCATATCAACTAATACTTTATTTTATGCAGCTGTATATAGCAGAAGTTTTTTACATTCATGAAATTGTACTTCTCTCATTGTTTGCTATGAGTAACAAAATGTTTGAATGTGTGAAATGAAGAATCACATTTTACCCGTCCCGGAGATTTGCACTTTGACACTTGTTTTCAGGCAAGAGATATTTCAAATTTCTTAATTATCATTCTAAACTCATTTTATTTGACATTTTAGTCGCAGTTTACCTCAGTTAATGTGACTAATTTTTTACAAGTTTTATATCCAAATTTCCATTCAAACAATCCATAAATCTTGCCATTATTACCAACCATATTGATTTGAATTATATTGAGATTTTGAGTAACCCAGATAACTGGTAATAATGAAAACGTAACCATGGTAACAGATCATTCATAACATTTTTCGTTATCCAGATATATTACTTGTTTGTGAGTAAAGAGCTTTCAACCCACCAAACATTTACATCCTGTTTCTGCTTGGCAGGGTGTCCATGGATAACTCAGAGGATCGACTCTGGGAATATTCGTGCAAGAAGGGCTTTGTGACTATGTTGAACATTTGTACATGACGACAATAGTTTGTATATAATGGACTAACTTGGGTGTATAAATTCTTTGAAGATGATGTTATTTTTGTATCGATCTGAATTGTTGACGAGTGATCATATATGTGTTTTTCAAGCAGATTTATGTTGCCAAGGTTTTTATCACGCATTGGCTACTGACATTGACTCAATATGGTGACACTGTGCTCTTGTTGCTGGTGAACTGTCATATATACTCATCAAGGGCTCTTCGACAACACAGTGTAGCCCAACCATGTTTAGCTAGAGGCATAACTGTTTCTAATACTCAACTGGGGCTGATAATTTGGGAGGTGAGGCTAATGACAAGTTTCCACCTTTCAACCAGCACCATCTCACAAACCAATCTGGAACCTCATGGTTGTCTGAGGGCAGGTGGAGAAACAGTCAGTATCCAAGGCCCAGTCCACTGCAACCTGCCCAAAGGGACAAGAGTAAGAGGGCTGTTTACATTCACTGTGACCCTGCTCTGCACCTCAAGATCCTGTAATCAAAAGGGAGAGAACCAGTCAACAATGCCGTCATCATCTGAGTCAGTATCAGTAGTCCGTCCCAGCCATCTTTAAGCTTCTTTGAACAGTGTTGCCAACAAGGACATTGAACTGAATGTCAGTATCTGGGCCACGACCATTTAGCAGTCCCAGAAGTATGTGGTTATTTGTCATTTCATCAGTCATATCAACTGGCTTTTAAAATGTAACATTTTATCTGAATTGTTTTAAAAAGTAACCTTTTGTGAAAACTTTGCATAAAGAATTATGAATGTGGTGGTGAAAGATTTGTGCCTTTCACTTATTTCTTATTCAATATTAGAGCATCAGATCTTATTTTTCTCAGATCACTGGAAAAAGAATTTGAAATAGATGTTAGAGAATGTGACTCTAGAGTTTATCAAATAATTCAAAACACTGTTCACACCCCAGTTCTATGATTTGTTGTGAGACAAAGTTCACTTGATATATAGCAGAAATTTACAAGAAGATCACAGGAGATCTGATCTGGACGAAAGGCTGTCCAAGACATTTTGTTGTATATAGCCTCGGCCCAATAATTACCTATTAGTCAGTACCTTGTATTTAACTATTCACCAGTTCAAAGAAGCTTACTTGGAGATCTCATGCCAGACTGTTTTTGAAAAAAAACTTGGTTTACAAATCCACCGGCTCTAAAAAATTGATATATATTTTTAATTAAACACAGTTGGGTTTTTTTGTATTCCCTTGTTCTGAAATATGTAAATTGAAAATTACTCAGTTACTGTCGCTATCGCAATGAATTTAATGTCTAAAACTAAACATTTTGTAAATATTTATTTAAATATTCAGACAAGAAATTAAGTCAAGAGAATAAAATATATCATTGTTTATTGGGATTTAATAATTTTACTTTTTTCATGCTACCCACCTGTATTTTACAGCCACTTTGTAAACCAAACAAAAATACCGTCTGGTATAATGTCTGTATAACCAACAAAGCGTCACTTGCACTACCATTAATACCCACCACTTGTAATCCTGCGTTTGTGTGTGCTGACAATTCCTAACAAGGTGAATATTGGGAGAACAGGTCCAGCATCACCGTGTTCAGTTACGAGTACCGTACTGGAAACATATTTAGTGGAGAGTTATTTTAATGTATATAAACAGACAAGATTGTGTATCCCGTCCATCTGGTGAATGTTTTGTACTGTGTTTTACTCTTCAGACTGACATAATTATTTCCCCTTGAAGAGTTATCTTCCCATAATGTTCACCAAGTTCTATCCTTTACGAAATTACACGTACCAGTCACACCAGTCTCTGCAATCACCACGGAACAAAAACATAAACAGATATATTATGGGTGTGACAGAATATGCCAAAATATATATCAATTTGAAGATGTTTTTAAGGTTTTTTTTGTCATGGTATATTCAGAAGACATTTGAAAAATTCATAGTGTGCTCTCAGATTGCAGCTTACGTTTTTAAGGGAAGATAACTCTGAAAGGGGAGATAATTCTTACCTATTCTCCCATGGTGATGCCACCTTGTCACCAGATCCTACATGAACAATGCTAACCTGTACTAGAGTTGTATGTACAATTGATGGAAGTACCAACACAACTTCTCTCCAACTTTTACAAGTCCAATAAACATTCATCATTATTAGCCTAAGTTTGTTGTTGTTGTTGTTGCCAGTGGCCATTATATAGGTTACAAGGGGGTGGATTATGACCAGCAGTGTTTGAACTTGACAGTGAGACACAGCGGTGCCTCAACAGGTTTGGATAGTTGTTTTGTTGTTAAACACCACATTCAGCAATATTCCAGCTATACGGGGGTGGTCTGTAAATTCATGAGTCTGGACCAAATAATCCTGTGATCAACAGTATGAGCATCAATCTACACACTTGGGATACGATGATGTGTCAAGCAGGTCAGTGAGCATGATCCCGTTACAACAAGCATGGGCCACTGAAGACCCGAATCCACATTGGATGTGAAGACTTCTGTTTCTGCTGCATGTGTTAATACACCTCCTCAGTCACTATCAGGCATTCTACATGCTCATATTAGTGTTGCCGGCCATAATATTGCTGGAATATTGATCAAAGTGGCGTAAAACCATACTCACTCTCTCATAATAGTGTTGAGATTATGTACTGTAAGCCATTAAAAACGCAATTGGTATTTGTTGTCCTGAAATTCACAAAAGTTCTATTGAAGATTTTTGCCTGCGATACAGAGGATGTAGGGATAAAAAGCTGTTATTCTGGCCCATTTCGAGTTCGAGTCCCGGAACATTCCTCTCACATGAACTTTGATACTTAAAACTGAACCTATTTATCATATATATCTCGTAAACACAACCACATTCAGGAACCACGTTGTGCACATGCATTACCTGCACCCAGGCCCTGTAAAAGCACAAGGAATTGTGGAACTCAATCACTTTGAGAAAATGCCACACTTGACACAAGACGACAGGAATCAGGTTATCGGTATGGTCAGCAAAGGTGCTTCAGATGTGATGATTGCCAGGCACTTTAATGTGCATCCATCCACTGTAAGTCGACTCAGACAACGTTTTTGGGCTACCCGGAAGTGTTGCTCGACAACACCGCAATATCCGAGTTTCACACTTGCAAAATCGGTTCCAAACAGCTGATGATGAGGCAAAGACAATTGGGACAAGTCAACGTCATTTCAGCGCCCAAAAGGTGCAAGGACGCCTTGCTGCCTTCAACATCCGGTGTCGTCACCCGTACCATGGTCCAACCTTATTGCATCGCCACAGACTTGCCAGACAGCGATGGGCAGCAAATGGGGCCAATCTTGGCAACAGGACATGGCCAGATGTCATTTTGTCAGATGAATCCAGGTTTAACTTATCCTTTGCAGATGGACGTCCACAGCTTTATCGACGTAAAGGAGAAAGACTTGCGCCAAACTGTGTCCTTGAACATGATCGTTTTGGAGGGGGTGGTGTGATGATCAGACCATCGGAGGCTGCAGACTATCCAACAGCTGTTCCTGAGAAATGTGTGTCTTTCAATGACCCAAAGACTGCGAGCATGTCTTGCAGCACATGGTGGACACACACGATATTGACTGCAAGTGACCCCTCCTTTGTTTGATGTCGTTGTTGCGTCACTGATGTTGTTGTTGACTGGACATTTTGAGGTGAAATTATTCACAGATGTTCACTTAAAACATATCTGCCAGTTAGGTTTTTATATGTTGAAATTGGTGTGAGTAAAGACAGTATGAATGTCAAATTGCGTTTTTAATGGCTTACAGTATATTAAACGTTAAATCATAAATACAATAACAGCCAGGAGACAGTTGAGAAAACTAAATAAATGTTTGATATGAGTGAAGTGTATCTTTTTCAAAAACGAAAAGAAAACTAAGTTGATCCATATACAAAAACAATTCATCTTATGCTGAACCAACAAGTATCATATTTTAACGTCTTTTGGTATGACGCGGTCAGGGATCGAACCCGCGACCTTCCGCTCTCCGGGCGGACGCTCTAACCACTACACCACGGAGGCGGTCCAACAAATTCAGAAGCCAGGTAACCATTACTTGACAGTAAGAGCTACCACCATGGGGGGGGGGGGCTCTGGCCAACTGAGACACCTACAGCATGCACTTCATGGCGACCCAGTTCTATTCCCCTCCTGTGTGAAGCCCATTACTAGAGTCCTGCTGTGATATTGCTGCAATATTGATAAAAGTGGAGTAAACTATACTTTCTGAAACCTGGCATAACAACGGCACAAACCTGAAACTATCTGCATGGGGCTGATTTATCAAATGGACAAACACCCATAACATAATCTCCTTGACAACAAGTCAAGTATGTCACAATTCACGTTTTAATTTCTCTTTTTCTACAAGTTCATTTCTTCTATTCTGGTAAAGAGCAACTAGTTTCTCATCTGGTTGTACACGTTTGTTCTGAAGTTCTGTCCAAGCCTTCTCCAGCTGATGGACACTGTAAGCCCTCTCTATTCTCTTCCTTGTCATGTCCAGCTCAAACTCGCTACTGGACATAATGGCACAGCCATGTTTTCCACATAAACTTGATTGCCTTGATTTGTCCAGTTTGGGTAAATATTTCACACCTGTTTTTCTTTCCAAATAATCTACACTCACTTCAAAATCTTGTAGTTTATGACTTGATATTGGTTTGTTTGGAACAACAAATGCTCCAACATATTTCTTATCCGAATCATCATTTTCTGCAACAATGACCTTGAACAGATGGGTTGGCACAGCAACCTGGTTCTTTCCAATCACCTGAAAGAACAACAGATATATAACTTGCAATGACAATGTCCGTTTGTTGCTTAACGTCGCACTCCAGCAAAACGGCAATGACAATAATAATGAAACTTTCATCAAGACGGGTTACACCTGTAGTCGTTGCCTCTTGAAATATCAAAATTAATTAACATGTCTGTGTTCTATTACTCATGAAGTGAAAGCGGGCGATTTCAGTGATATGGAATATGAGTGACACCATTCGCCATTGGTGAGAAGATTCATAAACACAGCGTTACATTGCTTGAAATCAGATCATTCACATACACAATGCTTCAGCTGTATAAATCCAGGCATCTCTCAGATGTCCGGTAAATCTAAGGAAACTGGTGTGTAAATCAAATCATGACGGCTTTGATCACTCTTGGAAGGTTTTAGTTTGTCGCAATGTGAGGTGAGGTGAAATTGTGTTTAACGTCGTGCTTGAGAATATTTCGCTGATATGACGACGTGCATGCGTGTGTTTGTGTATGTGCGGCTGCTTGTACTAGCCCAGACTTAAGCTGGTTTTATAGTGCTAGCCCACTGAGATACCATGCCGCAGTGGAGCATGAATACCCCACTCAGACACATTATACTGACTCCGAGCCGACCAGTCCTTGTTGTACCCATTAATGCCGAGCGCCAGGCAGGGACCAACAAGTACCATAATTTAACGTCTTTTGGTTTGACGCGGTCGGGCATCGAACCCGCGACTTCCGCTCTCCGGGCGGACGCTCTAACCACTACACCACGGAGGCGGTCTGTCGCAATGTGAAGCAGCAAAATCTCACTTAGACTTACAGATCCTGTGAGCTTAACATTTGGTTGCATAAGAAAAATATACCCATAATCTGTTTTTCAGTTATTGAAAATTACAATTGTTTGGTGTGGAAAAGTTAAATTCCAAATATTTGAAGACCTATTTTAATGACCTTTATCCAGTGAACGAGTGAAGATCGGTTAGAATTGTGGCGCCTCTGGTGCTAACGCTTATGCTGACACTGAGCAGTAGAACTGAATCTTGTATTTTGCGAGCGTGATGTTTCGATACAGATTGTAATTTTGAATGTCGGTTCTGAGTGACAAGGGGCGGTGGGGTAGCCTATTGGTTAAAGCGTTGCTCGTCACGCCGCAGACCCGGGTTCGATTCCCCACATGGGTACAATAATGTGTGAAGCCCATTTCTGGTGTCCCCCGCCGTGATGTTGCTGGAATATTGCTAAAAGCGGCGTAAAACCAAACTCAGTCAGTCAGTCTGAGTGACAATGGTACAAGATTCTGTATCAAACTTCGCACTCACAAAATATAAGAAGTTGTTTTCCAAAGATTGTCTATTATTGTACTTCCCAACTAAAATGCAACTGAAAGAAGTTAGAACTGAAATATTGAAACAGTACCGATGACGACAGTTTCACTCACTTCATAGTTGACATACAGCTTCCCATCTTCCTCTGACTCCGGTAGCATCACAGGACCGCTTAAGATGCGGACGTCCTTGAACTTCTTGGTGAGGTCACGACAGTACATCTCAAATCGGTTCCAGAAGCCGGCATTGTTGTCTGGGTCTTGAGGCAGGATGTTAGTCAAGTAAAACGTGTCACTCATGGCTCTCTGTGGAAGCAGATACAAATATGTTTCACAAAAATCAGATTAAACAGTTGCACTTAGAGATCTGGAACCCTTCCACCACTCTTACTGCCAACTGCCGGAGAATAAAATAAGATGGCAGAATTATCAAACACAATATTCCTATATGGTCACTACTCCTAAAGAACAAAGGAAATCCTGTAATGACCTTTCATCCGACCCAATCAGAGCTAACCGCCAGATTGGGAAAGTGACTATGTGTTTTCTATTCATACAAAAGAAAGTATTTTGATCAGTGAAAGGCAGTATGACAGTTTTCACAAAAATCATCTTGATTCACTTGCTTCATTTCTGAAACATTTCTGAAATGACTTACAACAGCTCATGGGAAGCCATACAATCTCATTCAGTCTAGTTTAGAATGTTCTTTTGTTCACTTTCCAACTTTTAGATTGAGAACATGGTCAAAGTGCTGTCTGGAAGGGAAGTCTCCAGTTTGAAACTAGCATTGTTAAACACGGGAAAGTTGCTTTCTGATTGCCTTATGTTCAGGAAAGGTTGTCCATATTAAAAAATTATGCTTAAAAATTATGGGAAGGGAGGTGGGGTCATTGATTTTGTACATGACATGCAGGGGGTTTCACTTACTTTGTACATATATTTTAAGTGGGTCATTCACATTGTCCATGCTTCATCACTGGGTCCAGACTTGATTATTTACAGACTGCCGCCATACAGCTGGAATATTGCCGAGTGTGGCGTTAAACAACCAAACCAAACCTTATGGGAACTCTTCGGATCTGTGAGGAGCAGTAGTATTACAAGCATTTCCCTTTAAACGAGATGGTGGTGATATAAGTAACATTCAACAGCTGATGTTCCTGTGACCACAGAGCCTTCAAGAGCTCATGACAGCCATCTTGAAATTGTAGCCCTTGAGCTATACATCCAACTGGAGAAGGTTGAACAATATGGAGCTTCACTTTTGCAAGACCTAACTTTATTTCTCTTTGCCTCAACTGCTGTAAAGTAAGATGCGGGAAGATGACAATTTTTCACTCACTTCAGTCGTCACTGGGGTAGAAAGATAAACTTCAAAACATTAAACAGATCTTACCTTAGTAAGGTAAGCTTACCACACTGACTGGACATAAAGCTTTACCTGGTCAAACTTGTAATTGCCAGCCGGCGCCATGTGACCACGGGACCAGCCACTGTGGCGATAATCGTCGTTGGTAGAGGAAAACATGCTCTCTACGTCCAGATCCGGTTGAAACTGAGACTTCTTCCGATTGGCTGAACCTGGCAAGAATAGCAAACCACGTGTGTGAGTGAGTGAGTGAAGGAGTCAGTGAGTGAGTGAAGGAGTCAGTGAGTGAAGGAGTGAGCAAGTAAAGGAGAGATTGAGTGAGTGAGTGAAGGGAGGAGGAGTGAGGAAGTAAAGGAGAGTGAGTGAGTGTGAAGGAGTCAGTGAGTGAAGGAGGAGTGAGTGAGTGAGAAGGAGTCAGTGAAGGAGTGAGTGAGTGAGTGAAGGAGTGAGGAGAAAAAGGAGAGATTGAGTGAAGGAGGAGTGAAGGAGTGAGTGAGTGAATGAGTGAGCCGAGTGAAGGAGTGAGTGAAAGAGTGAAGAGTGAGTAAAGGAGAGAGATTGAGTGAAGGAGTCAGTGAAGGAGTCAGTGAAGGAGTGAGTGAGTGAAGGAGGAGTGAGTGGAGGAGGTGAAGGAGGAGTGAGGAGAGTGAGTGAAGGAGTGAGTGAGAGTGAGTGAGTGAAGGAGTGAGGGCATGAGTGAGTGAAGGAGTGAGTGAAAATGAGTGAGTGTGAAGTAAGTGAAGGAGGAGTGAGGGCATGAGAGGAGTAAAGGTGTGACAGTGAGTGAGTCTGAGGATGAGTCTAGGTGAAGTCAATGGCTGTCTAAATTTCTTTGTGAACTGACACATTTAGGCTCATTAAATTTAGTGTAACATATGAGTGAGTGAACAAGCCAAGGGCGTGGCTCTGCCGGACAGAGCCAAGTCAGCACACGATACACAGTGTAATAGGCTACTAATAGCTGTTACAATAGTCAAGTCAGTACACGATACACAGTGTAATAGGCTACTAATAGCTGTTACAATAGTCAAGTCAGTACACGATACACAGTGTAATAGGCTACTAATAGCTGTTACAATAGCCAAGTCAGCACACGATACACAGTGTAATAGGCTACTAATAGCTGTTACAATAGTCAAGTCAGTACACGATACACAGTGTAATAGGCTACTAATAGCTGTTACAATAGTCAAGTCAGCACCCGATACACAGTGTAATAGGCTACTAATAGCTGTTACAATAGTCAAGTCAGTACACGATACACAGTGTAATAGGCTACTAATAGTTGTTACAATAGCCAAGTCAGCACACGATACACAGTGTAATAGGCTACTAATAGCTGTTACAATAGTCAAGTCAGCACACGATACACAGTGTAATAGGCTACTAATAGCTGTTACAATAGTCAAGTCAGTGATGGTAATATTCACCTAGCAGTAACAGAGGTCAAGCTTAAAAATAATGTTAGAAAAAATATATGACCTCTGATCTTGATATGCCCACTCAAATAATAATAATAATAGTTTATAGTTCTGTATCTGTATTATTCTGGATTATGTCTATTCTTGACTCCAATAACGTAAAACACTAAAAAACTTCTACCCTACTTATTTTAGAAACTACTTCATTCCTGACAACTACATATTGTTACACAATAACAATACTGTTTTCCAATAAATTATACCACCATGCAACACAGTCACTCACAAGAAATAGCGTAAACTTTAGATCAAATCAAATAGGCGCCAAGGACAAATACCAGCTGTACTTATGGCATTACAAAACCCACCTGTCAACTTCCCTCGGTGAAGGTGCTCAGCAACCCATATTGGGGTCTTCTTGGCCTGGTCATACGCTAGCACATGGTCGCTATAGGAACGAATGGCTGGACCTCTGTCTGGGACCCCATACTTCAGTATCTCCCGAGTCTTCTCCAAGTTGGCCACATCCTCTGCAAGAGTGAGGAAGTGTTTGTTGTTTCACGCCATACTTAGCAATGTTTCATTTATATGGCAGCTGTCAGGAAATAATCAAGTCTGGACAAGACAATCCAAATATTGATATCTCAAACATCAATTTATTCATATGGGAGACAATAACATCTAATAACAAAGTGAGAGTTCTTGTCTATCCCTTTAGTCACTTCATACAACAAGCATGACTTAAGACCAATTCTAACCAGAAATCTTCACAGGATTATGAGTGAGTGAGTGAGGGGTTAACTAACATGGACTGACTGACTGAGTTTAGTTTTTTACGCCGCTTTTAGCAATATTCCAGCAATATCACGGCGGGGGACACCAGACATGGGCTTAACACATTGTGCCCATGTGGGGAATCGAACCCGGGCCTTCAGCGTGACGAGCCAACGCTTTAACCACTAGGCTACCCCACGGCCCCAACTAACATGGAACAACACATCAGTACCAAAAGTGTTCATCGCCTCAAGAAGAGGAGTTTGTAGACACTTATCAGTTCAGCCCGACCCGTGAAGCTCCGGGTTAGAATATTGATCTTCAGTAACCCATGCTTGTCGCAAGAGGCGACTAACGGGATCGGGTGGTCAGGCTCGCTGACTTGGTTGACACATGTCATCGGTTCCCAATTGCACAGATCGATGCTCATGCTGTTGATCAGTGGATTGTCTGGTCCAGACTCGATTATTTACAGACCGCCACCATATAGCTGGAATATTGCTGAGTGCGGCGTAAAACTAAACACACGCACGCATGTACACACAGAGTTCAGCCCAGAGTGACAGTGGAGTAGCTTTGAGGGTAAAGTGTTCACTTTACGAATGCGTTCTTCAAGCCGAAGACCTTGGTTCAACTCCCCACATAGACACAATGTACTAGGACTGCACAGTATTACCGGTATACCTGTATACCACAACACGCTTTCAAAGCATAATGAGTGAGTGAGTTAAGATTTAATATTTTATCTCAGGGACATATAAAGTAGAAAATAAGATCAACATGGAAAATTAGTGTCACTTACTTATTAAAGGGTCTTCAGAAATAGAAGCAAAATGGGCAGTTCAGAATAGAGTGAGTGAGTGAGTGAGATCAACATGAGTTTAGTTACTTTACACCACACTCAGTAATATTCCAGCTATATAGAGTGAGGGTGTTCAGAAATAGAAGCCCCAGCTAGTCGGTGTGAAATAGAAGCCCCAGTCGTTGAAGACAAATTTTAACCCAGATCTTCACTCGTCTTGAAATATTATATGTTGTTTTACATGTATATAATGAATAACATCAAATAATTATGATACAGTTTAACATGGTTATTTACTGAAAATATAGTGACAATGTGCTATCTAAATATATTATATACTGATATATTTTTTTATGTGAAAACTGACTATTCCTGGTTTGCTGTGAGTTGAGGAGGGACATTTCACCTAGAGCAAATGAACAATTTTAGTTGCTAGTCAGTTTAGAAAATTGGTATACCTATTGCCATCTAAATACTAACTGTGGGAAAATGTGTGTGACAAGGCTTTAGACACTATTGCAGTGAATGAAGTACATGTTACAAGTCATGCTGGAAGAAAGTGATGCATGGTGTAACATTTCCGTGTAGTATCTCGTGTTGTGTTGTGAACCGGGAGTCGAACCCATAACTATTGCCCAGCCGACAAACAACATTCGCCATGACTTCCACGTGACTGATCTGGCTACAACATTGATCTTTGTGTATATAAACAACACCCTACACGTGCGTGCGCCCTATGAAGGTATACCCAGTAAAGCAGAATCCACAGGACTGAGTACATCTGACTTTCTCGACGTGACATCTAACAATGAGTACAACGTGTAACATGTAACCGATGCTACAGTCCCCGACAAAAAACCCTTGATGAAGGACATGGTTGGTCAACGATAAATCGACGCGAAACACAACTAGGCTCTGTCTCTACATAGCGGAACATGCAGTTGCCCTGACAAGCTCCACACAGCGATACTGTGTTGCGAAAGAACAGGTGGCGATTTATGAGCAGTATTTAACCAGTCTGCAAAGCTTGCATCAGAAACGTACATTTCGATTTTTATGAAATTTCAAGGGGTAAAAATGACACGATTTGCTTTCCTGTAAACTCATCTATTTCGGATGATTTTACAAAAAGTGTTAAAAACAAAAGTTGGGAAAAACGATAGTTATAGAATCGAACTTTAGATGCGTTCAAAACTACGAAATATATACCCTATACCAAAAAACATTTCATTTCTATTTTCGTGAGTACTTTAGAATGTTTTTTTTTCAGAATACTTGACAAGATTGCGTTTCGTGTAGATCTATGTATGCAACCTAGTGAAAATATTTTTGATGTGTCTCATAACCGAAGGGACCTCATGAAATAAAAATTATCTTGAGCGCACAAGTTAATATCTTGAGCGCTCAAGTTAGTTATCTTGAGCGCACAAGTTAGTATCTTGAGCGCACAAGTTAATATCTTGAGCGCTCAAGTAAATATCTTGAGCACACAAGTTACTTATCTTGAGCGCTCAAGTTAATATCTTGAGCACACAAGTTACTTATCTTGAGCGCACAAGTTAGTATCTTGAGCGCACAAGTTAGTATCTTGAGCGCACAAGTTAGTATCTTGAGCGCACAAAGTTATATCTTGAGCGCATCAAGTTAATATCTTGAGCGCACAAGTTAGTATCTTGTGCGCACAAGTTAATATCTTGAGCGCTCAACTTCGTGTTTAGCATCTAATGGCATTAATGGAACGCACATTTGCTTGACTGCTGGCTAAAATGTACAAACTTATATACTTTTTGGAAGATTTAAAACGATGCAAAGTCGGAGTTAACTATAGGTATTTATGATGAGACTATGTAAAAGTATGCAATTGTATCATGAACATTGATAATGTTTATCATGTAAACGTTCATCGTCTTTATGCTTGTCAATACTATTCTTTGTATCTGATTTTACCACTTTTTGCTTTATTACATAAAGCAGGCCTAGGTGTGTGTAATGTCATAATAAGAATTAAAACATAAACATGAGTAGGAGTTTATTGCAGGGATGAATAGTGGTTTTACCTACTTCTTATATTGGTACATAGTATTATGAAAACTAGCGTAAAGCTTGGATAACTTGTTTTTTGCGACGGCTTCATTATGTATATATAGTATTACATGACCATGAAAAATGTAAACATTGAGTGTTATACTTAATTATCTTAATTATAAAACTGATGTCTGATGTATTGGAAGTAAAGTCGACCACTTTCAGGGAACTATAGTCTGTAGTTTTGGTTTGCATGTATCAGTAACTGTTTCCTAACGTGGGTACAATGGCAGTTTAACTCTGTACAATATCATATAAAACCCGCCTGATTTATTTGATCCATTAGTATGTGCACGTATAGCACATATACCGACTTTATTTCTTACTAAAATACCATGTTCCCCGTTTTACTTCCTCCGTTTCAATCCCTTATGCATACGTATGTGTGTTGTAGTTTATTTAACATGTTTTAACAACACAGGAAGTTGAAGAATAAACACGTCGATAAAGACGGTGTCTTGAGCGAAATTCAACACCATCCGGGGCCACCATCTAAGCAACGACCGTACAACATCCTGTTTCACGATAAACCACATTGGATACATTTTTATGCATCAAACGATAACCATGTCTTTGTCCAGATCGTCGAAGTTGTCTGCAATAAAGTTTGTAACATCAGCGGGGCGGTGGGGTAGCCTCGTGGTTAAAGCGTCCGCTCGTCACGCCTGGGTTTGATTCCCCACATGGGTACAATGTGTGCAGCCTATTTCTGGTGTCCCCCGCTGTGATATTGCTGGAATATTGCTAAAAGCGGTGTAAACCGTACTCACTGTAACATCAGCAATTCTGGTATCTGGTGCGAAAGAGGGACATACACCTCAGAATACGCTTCAAGTGGCGTACTATACTATACCATGATTTTTGACAAGAAGATGTGTTATGTGTTTGTATTGGAACCCAAGACTGAAATATGCGTGAATCAGTTCGCGAATCCGCTCCTCCTTGCTGCCAAATGAACTGCTTATGGCGCAGTGTATCTCAAGATAATAAGTTGAGAGCTCAACATACTAACGTGTGCGCTCAAGATAATTAACTTGTGCGCTCAAGATATTAACTTCAAGATGTTAACTTGTGCGCTCAAGATACTAACATGTGCGCTCAATATACTAACTTGTGCGCTCAAAATAAATTTTATTCCATCAGGTCCCTTCAGCGCTTCCGTAGAATAGATCTACATTCCTGCGAACTTAAATTTTGATTAAAATTACACAAATTGTCGTTGACTAACACAACTGGGGCACATAACTAAACAAAGTACTTCAGTTGGGAAAAGAAGATTGTGCTCGGAAACCCATCACTGGAAGACCATCGTAGGAAGTGTATCAAATGACAAACAACAATGAGTGAGAAAATTCAATAGAAATTGTCGAAGTTACGCCTGACGCCATGCTTGACGCGAAATCACGCAGAACAGCAAAGGTATTTATCTGCATTTCCATCCGGCCTCTTGGTAAAAATCGAAAAAATAAGAGCATATTTCAATATTCATATCGGCGGATTCTTTCTGATTACTTACATCATTCAGTTGTGTATATACCATTACCGAACCACCGTAGATACTCCCGTAAAAAAATCCGACGTACCGCCATTATTGAACACGCCATTGTGTCAAAGGTCACCGGTAGTGACGCATTGCATAGCAGGTATTTTGTTAAGGTGAAGGTCAAATCAATATCTAAACAATTATTTTCTTTTTATCTTCGACATGACCCCTGTTAGCAAGATTTTGCTTCTCACACAGTACAAGTGTGTAATCTTAAAGGTCACATGCAACGTAAAACACAACTTTGCAGATTCTGATACCTTTCGGTATTGACTTACCGAAACAAATCGTCAAAAATGCAAATTCAACTTATAAAGTTGAAAAATAACGCGATGAAAAAAACCGCGCGAAATCGGAGTTCAAACGTTTCACTAATTTTCCCCAGACTTTTCTGGGGAATACGGGTTTCAACAGCTGGGCTGCGCTCATAGCACGTGCGCAGTGAAATAGGTTCGCACAACTTGGAAGCGGGCTGTCTGGTGAATACTCGGTGAAGGCTTTGGTGTGAGCTATTTTTCTAATGTTTTGTTGATATCTCACAGGCGCGAGCTTTTTATATGTTATGACAGTAAATAAACTGTTTATATAATTTCATTTGTCTATTTCACCACACGGTCTTCTTACCGAGTCACTTTCTCAGTTCGATACTTAAAAGCAATGTCATTATTTAGCGTTGACACAATTTCTAACTGTGATATAGATATGTCGCTGTCCATAGGCGGATCCAGAGGGGGGGGGGTGCAGGGGTGCGCACCCCCCCTTTTTCTCCTTAAAGTTATTAAATGACCATTGACACTCTCGTGAAAACGGGGGTGCACCCCCCGCCCTTTCCAAAGTTTGTGGTGGACCTCTGATCGATATCTCACACTAAGATGATTATGAAAAGAAAGTCTTAAAAACCGCCAATCCATCTCAACAGTTAACTGTAATTTCTGAATACAACAGTCTATAACATTGATTTCAATGGGACAGCAGTGCCATATCTCTTCACGACAATAATCATTCCCAATATTTGGCGCATACCCTAGAGTTTTCAGCTAGTCAGGTGGCTGGTTTGCCCTTACACCAAATCGCTTGGTCTGACTTGGTCCATGTCCAGGTGTTGTGCATGCACCAAAAGGTTCACAGTCCAAAGCAGGCATTGCCACTTCTCGCTCGCCTTTTCTTTCTGACCAGACGCACCAACACATCGCTGCTGCGAATAGTAATAACTGGCTGCATTCTTTATAACTGGTCTCATCTCGGTTCTCGAGCAGTATAGACCTTTGACAATTGTTTCTAGGATTTCTCATCCCAGTGATGCTAGTTCATAATTTCATGATAAACCAATCATTTTTTGGATTAGATTCCATTTTCCATTTTCTAGTTACATTGCCAAAATAGGGCTTCATAGTTCGTTTTCATAGTTGTCATTTTGTTTCATATAAATTTAGTTTCAGCTTACAGATAGTCAATGTGCTATTGTGTTCAGTCCATAGGGTTTTTCCGATTTGCAATAATTTTTGTGTACCTGTTGGTTTTAAATTTATCTTGTTGACTAAGTAAGATTGTTACATGTAGAAATCATTGTATTATGGACGACCAGAAGCGTGTGGTACATTACCAGCGGCTGCATTCAGCATTAGTTAGTGCAGCCAAACAAGGCTGGGAATGTTTGAGGTTTCAGTTTTCTCTGAGGTCGCAGAGTATCAAACAGTTCAATTTACCTGACCAAGTACCAAAGTGTGTAAAGTTTGCTCGCGATTCCGTGGCTGAATTATCCAGCTGATGCTCCGACATCTCGACATCCAGTTGCATGCATTGGTGATGGAAATTGTCTTCTTCGAGCCTTCTCCCAACAACTTTTGGGTGATGAAACTCACCATCTGGAATGCCGGGTGCGTATCATAAATGAGCTTGTCGTGAACGAGAAGCTATACATCAACCAGGCATTACTTGCTTCTATGTCAGGTGGGAAAGCCAAGGAAAAGCAGAACTTGTTAAAGTATGTCGTTGTTACCTCAGCAGCTGATGCATCACTTGTGACGTCATCTATGCAACAAACCTTCCGGAAAGAGGTACTTAACACTGTAAACAATGGACGGTATACCTCTCTTATACACATATACGCGGCAAACAATGCTTTTCAGCGCAAGGTCATATCGGTTTATCCCAATATTCGGAGTGTAGCAATTGATCGACAGGTCATGCACCAAACCATCACACCACTCGTTGGGGAAATAAAGACCCCATCTATCTGTATCATGTGGACTAACATGACCAGCACAGACACAGCGGGATGGAAACCTAACCATTTTGTGGCCTGTATTGGTACTGGAGAAATGGAAAGTAAGTGTGCTTTGCCAGATACAGAGTTTCCCGAAGTGAAAAGTGTGAATCTGGGTAACACATACTCAGCTGATAGTGTATGGAAAAAGGC